TACGCAAAAATAAATTGTCAGTCCCAGCAAGCTTTTTTCTACATTTTAAGCATAGTATATTAGGAAGGTCTGAGCTGTTAGCTGAATCTTTCCAGAATATAGTTTGATAAGGTTTGAGTAGTCTTTTTTCTTTTTATTTACATTTATATATAATGTTTTATCATTATTTATAGGTCCTTGCCTTTTCGGAGCAAATGCAAAACATTTTAAGAAAATAAATGTGTTCTCTTGCATGATTAAGCATTTTAGATGAAGGCTTCAAATAAGAACTTCTGATATGCATTTATAATATTGCCACGATATATCGACCCTATTAAATTCAGGTAGTAAATGAGAGGATTTTTAAACTTCTTATGTTCATAAATCTTAAAGGAAAGGAGATTTTTTGATAAAATTTAAAATCTGTCTATAAATTTTGATCTAACTCATGATAGAACTTAAAAAATATTTTTCTTAGAAGACAAAGTTCAAGGAAGGGGGCAATTAGATGTCGGGGTAGGTTTGGGTTAGTTTTAATTACCTAAACTTTTTCAAAGTCATCCTCATTTAATGCCAGTAATAACATAATAAAAATTTGAGTATGCATCCAGGACTTTTAGTTATCTTGAACAACAAAATTACTGGGCACTCGCCAAAAATACGTGTTTCCTCCTCAGGCCCCGGTTAAATAAATTGTTATTTACATTTTTATAATTAGGAAGAGTCTTCTGATAATAAACAAAAATTTCTGTGGATGTGTTGCAAGGTCTTAGAGCATGCTTCTATGCACGTAATAATACAAAAAATTGGAAAAATATATAAAAGATAATAAACTCAAAAATTAATTTTCGATAGCAAATGAACACTAAGCAAAACAATAAGCAAACAAAAATTTTTTAAAAAAAGTTTAAAAATATATGAAAACAGTTTTCAATTATTACGATTATTTAGTATTAAGAAATATAAAATAAAGAATTGAAAAATTTTCAGAAAAATTTATAACTATATATATTGGAAAAGTGTAAAAAGCAAAAAATTAAAAATTTTTTAAAGAACTTTATACTTAATAAAATCTGTAAATATATATATATATATATATATATATATATATATATATATATATATATATATATATATATATATATATATATATATATATATATATATATATATATATATATATATATATATATATAAATCTGTAAATATATATATAAATCTGTAAATATATATATAAATCTGTAAATATATATATATATATATATATATATATATATATATATATATATATATATATATATATATATATAAATTTTATATATATATATATATATATATAAATTTTTTTTTTTTTTTTTTTTTTTACAACTTTTTTTACTCTTATTATCATTCTAATATTGCGGTCTTTTTTGCTAAAAAATGTCGAGTCAGGACTTGCTTTATAATTTGACTGGAGGTGTAAAAGAAATTGAACTAAGAAATATTTGCATTTCATACCGCTCAATAATGCAATTGACTTTTTGTTTAGTATGACAATTACCAAATTTTTAACTTCCTTATTAAACTTCGTTTACATCTGTAGATTTAACGTTATAAGTTTAAGGGTATAAGTTGGGCATTCATTCTTAGTTGAAAATACAAAAAGAATATCTTTTATCTTTAGATAAATATTTATATTATTAAGGCAGTGTTCTAAATAGTTAACTGAAGAGCTGAATTTAAAAAAAAAATTAGATTTAACAACCAATTGCTGTATTCCCATATCTTTGTCTAGAAAAGGTGACATCAAACCATCTGATGAAACAGAAGAATTTATCATAAAATAAAAAATCTCATAAGAATAAAGAAAATTTTTTTTTTCTAAACGGTTTTAAAAAATACCTATAGAATTTTAGATGAACTTTAAGACCGTTTAAACAATTATTTAATCGTGAGTCTCAAGGCAAAACCTAGAGAGTTTGAGGATCTGATATAATAAATAAATAAGCAATTATGTTTATCTTTAAAGGTCTAATAAATTTGTCGGCAGTAAGATAATAAGTTACTAAATAGAATTGAAGTAAATATAATTAGAATTCCTAATAGAATTATATAAAAAGAATATCTTAAATATTTTTAGTTCTAACAAGATTAAAATAATTAGGCTTCTAACGAAATCATAATCTGAAAAAATATCCGCAATAAAAAGTGAAATAAAAAAAAAAAAACTAGCTCAATTGGTGTAGTCAAGATGCATTTATAACTCCAGAAATAGAATCTTTTCCCTTAAAACCATTAAGTTGATATATAAGGTTTCAAGTTAGTTTTTTTTTTTGCACTCCTTTTTTGGGTAGGAGTGCAAATCTGTAATTTCAAATAACTGTTTAAATAAGTCAATTTTAGGACAAAAGTTTTACCAAGAAAATCTATACTTTGAAATGTGATATAAAAACAAATTTTCATTATATACCTTGCCATAACGATTAAGCTATTTATATATACTCAAAAAAGTACAAGAAATATTCTATTTATGGTTTATTACAATGACATTGAAGTTCTTGTAACAACGCTGTTTTATCACAGACATTTAGAAACAAATGATATTGATGTCAAATAAGGTGTAGATGGAGGGCAGGGATTATTTAAAGTTACTCATTCAATTACCCTAAACCAAATTTAGAAAATAGTACAATCCCAAATTAATTTAGAAGGTGTAATGAATATACGTTCAAAGATTTGAAAGATTCAAGTGTACACAAAACTATTATACTGGCAATTTTGCCTTCATTGAACAAAAAATACCATAATCTGCGGATAATTTTAGATAATTTGAACATTTCTTCCCTAGTTATTTCTTACACAGTAACTAAAAATCTAAAGGTTTTGCTTCAAATGGTTGGAAAAAAAACTGCAGCATCAAAACATCCTAGTCCGTTTTGCATGACCTTTTCTTCCAACTTTCAAAAAACTAATCATTATTCTTTAGAATCTTTGTGCAGATTATACAATCAATGGATATCTGATGGTGTAAAACTAAAAAAAAACAAAAACAGACACAATTGTTGTTTAACTCCCTTTGTTAACAGGGGACAAACATAAAAAAACAATAGAAAAGTAGAAAATTTTTTAAAAAAGATTGAAAAAAATATGTTTAAAAACAAGGAGTGTGGGTTGCAATTTTGCGACGAATTATCTTGTTCTATCTCCACATTTTTTAGTTTTGAAACACGATTTTTTTTTATAACTTATGTTTTTTCCGCAACTTTTTTACTTATAACTTAGGTTTAAATTCAGTAGAAAGACATTATTTTGAGGATTTTTTTCAGAAAAAAGAGATAGAACAAGATAATTCTAACGTCGCAATTTGTCAACCGATATCTATCTACAGTAAATATCTTCAGAGTATTCTACCAAGGGCAGCGCCGTTTGGAGGACAATGCTTGCAATAAGTTGCTTAAAAACATAAACAGCTTTGAGCTGTTTTTTCAAGAGTCCAGTCATGGAGATCCCGCTGCCAAATACATTAAAGTACTTAGAGTTTTTAAAAAATAGTCTATGGCTATTTTGGAAAATCATTAAGCTCTACTTATGTCAAAAATATAGAACAGCTATAGAAATCTGGGGGCAACGATTCCTTTAAAGGTACACATAATTGAGCAACATATTATTGAATTCATTGGCATGAAAGGTGGAGTTTTCGATGTAATAAATAAATTTTAAGCTTGATAAAAAATTATAATAATATTAATTAATTATAATAATAGTAATTAAATACTTATTATTACAATATTATAACAGTTTATGCAAGTTAAAATTTGCATAAACTATGACCATTATTCTATAAATAAACAGAAATTATTTTATACATGTTTTATCTGTAGGCTTAGGTTATTGGACCGAATTTTTCTTTTATTATTTTAAACTTAATCAAAATTCATCAACATTTATAATTTCATTTAAAAAAAGTTTATTGTTTAGAAGTTATGATCGTTCAAAGTTATTTTAGTGGGTAATGAAGAGGATTTTTACATTTTTAGAAAAAGCAGGAGTCTTCTGATGATAAACAAACAAAAAAAACATTTCTAGGAATGTGTTGCTAGATCCTACGCACCGTGTTATGCTTCATTACATTTTTTATGACGTTTAATGATTTGTTAATATATATTATTTACGGATTATTTGGGGCTTCGCGCTAAGATTATTATTTATTTTTTTTGTATTATTTGTATAATTTGTCTTGTATTTAATTAATTTAAATAATTTGACTTGAATAATTGTATAATTATTTGTATAATTTGTCTTCTTGTTGCCTCTGTCATTTGTGTATTTTACAAATAGGAAAATTGTTATTATTTCTAACAGCAAATTAATAATAATATTAATAAAATCTCTGCGGGAAGTTTTTTTCATGACATTTCTTAGCATATTGTCAATTATGTGGTGAAGAATTTTGTGTGGATTTATGCGTTAAATCAAAATTTAATACCTAAATCTTTTAACCACACTTAAAGCTTTAATCACATTAAGAAAAGTAGCCACCTCAATTGTAGTGGCCTACTCCGTTGGTCTTGGGGAGATAAGTAACATTAAAAAGAAAAAATTAGAATGTACGAATAAATTGCAGGGAGTTTAAAGATTGGTTTTTAATTTCAACTGTACTCACTTTTAAGTTTGAAAACCTTATCACTTGTTAGGAGGTATTCATTAAAGAGTTGATTAAACCAAGAAAAAAATACTTAAAAATAGTATTGCATAGTTTAATAAATACTAAATAAATACTAAAATATTATTTAATTATATCATGATTGAATTAAACAAACAATTATTATAAACACGTTTTTTCTTTATAAAAATAAAAATATTTCATAAATAATATAATAAATAAAAACTTTGAATAGTTTTCAACATTTTTATTTTTTCAATTTGTTAACATCTTAAAACTTTTTTTGTTTGGTTCTTAAGTTATATTTATTATTAGATTATATTATATTAGACGTTTACAACTTTTTATCTTTATATATATTAAATTAGCGTTTATAGATATTAAATTAGCGTTTTATATACACTTTTTATATATAAAAATCAGATAAAATAAATATTTACTAAAAATATTGTCTCACAATTTTGATCAAACTTTTATTAAGATATTTTCTCGCGATTACTTCAAATAACGAACACTAAATTTAAAAAAAAATCAAAAAAATAGGACGAGAAAACAATAAAAGTTATAAAAATAAAACCGGATAAGAAAAAAATATAATAATAAATTTTATAAAAATAATAAATGCAGTAAATTGTTTTTTGTACATTAAAACAATCAACATGGCTAATATTTGTAGTATGAAGCTCAAAGGTCAATCTTGAATAATATTAATGTGATTATAACAATGATAATCGAATAATCAGATGATAATCTTTTCTATCATTTTTTTTATCTTTGAGAGTCGAGCAGCCGTGACGCAGTGGTCGCGCACTTGCCTCAGAAACAAAGCATCCGGGCACCTAAAATAAAAAAAGTGTATTAAAGTTATTTGCAAGTTACAAAAAATAGAAATAATATTTTTGTACAAAAAAGCTTTAAACTTTATTTCTTTTTTCAAGACTTTTACTTTAAGCTATTTTAAGCCGCATTTTTTGACAATAGAAGTTGCTGAAAACGAATTAAAAAACCTCTTTTTTATATTTTGAACCTCTTTTTTATTCTAAACTTTATATGGCGGTATCTTTTGAGTACCGAACTAAATCTTAATGAAATTTGAAAATTTACAAGTTGTGATTGTATTTAAGATAAAGATTTTTATTTTCAAAAACTAATCTTCCTTCAACCAAGAGAATAATAGAGGCGTTTTTTAAGGGTATTTTTACTCCAATTTGCAAATGATGTGGTATCTGCCTCAAAGTTTTTATTTATTTAGAGGCTAATTTATTTTTTATTTTTGTCACAATATAAAACATGTAATTCTGTTTTAGTGTACAGAGACCGATCAACTATAAAACGTATAAGTGAAACCATTATGAACTTGAAGATAAATTAAGCTAAGTCTTCAAAATGTTGCGATCTTAGTTATAATGAAATAGATAAGATAAGATGTAGGGTTATCTGGAATAAAGAAAAAGACCTATGTGAATGTTACAAGTGGGTCCGGCTAATTGGAGTTTACGGAATATGGTATGACATATTGAGAACTAAAAACATGGAATATATATCTAAAAAGGTTTGAATGATTGGCAACAGCTCTACGTTCATTTAAATTACTGAAAAAAAAATTTAACTTTTAAAACTTGACATTTGTGTTTAAGTAACTGCTCTAAAGTAACTTTACCTTTTTTTCATTTTTTTTTGTCTTTATTTGATTATCTTATTAGCGCAGTACCTGTATGCTTATTAGAGTTTTTTAAATAATTACTATACTTTATTGAAAATTTACATCGTAGCTCTTTGAAAAGATTAAGGTGATTGCATATTGTCAATTTCAACTTCTTTGAACCCCCACTGTTTTATTCTTTCTTTTATAAAAATCATTATTTTATAAAAGTTTATGTTATATATAAAAAAGCGATGCTTGTGCAAAACTTCACATTTTTAACTAACGATCCTGAAGTATACCGGGGGTTCACTTTTTTAACTAAGGATCCTGAAGTACACCGGGGGTTCACTTTTAACTAAGGATCCAGAAGCACACCGGGGTAAACAAAGTGATCATAGTAAGCATAGCTTTCCAACACCTTAATCAATTGAAATTTACCTTAGCATACCTAAGTTTACATTACTTTGTTATCTTGAATTAGATTACGATGCAAATTTATAATGAGCATTACCTTAAAAATCTTTCAAAAATATAGGGTCAAGGTGACTAATACCCTATTTGCGATCGGGAAGGAGAAACGAAAGGGGGATGAAAAAGTAGTTCTAAAGACTTTGGATCACTTGCAAACAAATTCGGAAGTACCAATTTGATAGTAAACCTTATATAAAAAGGAAACTATTAACATAATTCCACCGCCTGAATACCCTATTTATAAATATTGTGAAAGTAAAATTGTTGTTACTCTTTACTGATAAAATTTTTAATTCAAGAAAACTGTTTTCACGCAAAGCTGTATTGGTAGTGAACTTGATAAACCCAACTGTGACAAAAATTTAAAATCTTGGCACTAAATGACACTTCATTATCAAATCAAGTATTTGGAGTGTATAGAAATCCTGAGGAGGTTTAAAGAAGAGAGATCATTTTTTTAGTAAACTGTTTTAGAACGTTTTCAATTCAGTTAGTAAAGATAACGATTAACGAGACGATTTACGAGATATCAGTCAACATAAGATTAACAGAAATAAAAATATGTAAGTACCATTGTTTTTGGCAAGTTAATACTTATTTGCCTTTGTTTGATTTAGTTAATAAATACTGTTTTGAAATGAAACTTGATGTATCCAACAATGAGAAAAGGAAAAATTTGTGGAGTCCACACCTAACTTTAAACTATATGTTCATAATGTATTTGAAGAGAAAGTTACACTTGGATAAAAGTTTCACATTAATAGATTCCATCTCATGAATATCTTGATAAGCTAAAATCTGATACAACATGTTTGGTGTTACAGCAAAATAAACATCAAAGCTGAGCATAAAAACCGAGACACCGAAAAGATTTGGTGTGTCCTAGGTAAATGTCATCAATGTGAAAAATTAGAAGTCTTCATTGTTGAATACACTTCAATAAGAAGATTTTCAAAGATGTATGTTAAGAAAATACGATACCTTTTGTTATCGCAAATATTTAGAATACTGTTTACAGCATTTCATTTGTCTGAACTTTTATTTAAGTTTTATGCACGATTTATGTGTGCCAGTAGAAGATCTTTTGTGCCGGTAGAAGATCTTTTGTACCGGTAGAAGATCTTTTGTACCGATAGAAGATCTTTTGTGCCGGTAGAAGATCTTTTGTGCCGGTAGAAGCAGAACATTTTTCTGCATTCAAAATAAAATTTTGTCAACTATTATTGCGATAATAATATAAATTTCTTAAAAATATATATTTCAAGGTTTAAAAGGTACGACAGTATAAAATTTAGAACCTCGACGTTTTTTGAACGTTTTGCATAAGGATATATATTAGAATAAAAACAACGCTGTAACTCATATGAGTTGAAACTGAAATTATATAGAATTTCAGTCTATAACAGCTGAGGAATTTAACGACGGTTAAAGGAATATACAAGATCAGAGGTTTGAAGTTTAAAATTTAAAGTGTTATCTATTTTTAGAAAAAAAAACACAACGAGTCTATAATAATGCGTTTTTTGATTCGTTATCAACAGTTTCTATCTCATGTTAACCTACTTGTAAAAGTGATTTAAAAAAACCTGAATTAAAACTTAAACAGAAAATCTCTAAAAAAATTAGAAGTGCACAACAACTGTAAACTAGAAATTGTGAAGCTTCCAATCTTTCGAAGCAATAGCGCGCCGGCTAAAAAGTTACATTTCAGTTTTTACCATGGGAAGATCATACAACATATGATGATTAGTACAATCTTGATATCAATTTATAAAAAGAGTTTTGTATTAACTGCCTCTGTGTTTTTTGTTTACAATATTTCAATATTTTTGTTTATAATATCATAATCTGAGCAACTTCCTATTAAATGCGCGGTGCTCTGTGATAAGACCGTATTAAATGCTCTTCCGCGGTGCTCTGTGATAAGACCGTATTAAATGCTTTTCCGCGGTGCTCTGTGATAAGACCGTAAGGACTTCTTGGGGCACCTAAATCAACTTAAAAAAAAAAAAAAAAAAAAATATTTATATGTGACCACAATATTTGTATATAAAATTTCTTGTACAGCTCCACAAGTTTCTTTCATCTTCAATATAAATCAATATAGTTTGTTTTTTTATCTCAATAATTTGCAAAAAAATGTTTATGTTTCTTTGTTTCTGATAAGTAAACATTTATGATCAAATCAATTAATTATAAGAGTGAATTTAGTTATTTGTATGCTAGCTGTTTTTAAATAAAAGCTTAAAAAAAAATTCCCTAAATGCACAACGCGTTTGCGCATTTGCGTTACTCAAAATCTTGTTTCAAATAAGATTTTTTTTTACACGCAAAGATTCATATTAAGAAAGTGTTTTTCAAAAATTTTCAATACAACGAAAGCAGAATAAAGATGACGCTTGGTTCAAAGGATATTAAAAACTGCCAAAGATCAAAAGAACAAACTTGCAATGTTTAATATTTACTAAAGGGTAAAGAGATGATTAAACTATTTGAAAAACTGAAAAAAGAAGTAATGTATACAAAAAAGTTGCATTTACAGATGCTTCTAAAATACTTTGGTACTAAATATGATACGATTATGCTCTGTTATATGATGCACTTGTGCTCTGAAAGACGATGCACTTGTGCTCTGAAATATGATGCACTTATGTTTTTAAACATGATGCACTTGTGCTATAAAATATCATGCACTCATGCTCTGAAATAGTCAAAGAACAATTATTATGAGAAGTTTTTCACTTTTTAAATTTACAATAAAAGCGCAAAAAAGAAAGCAACAAGTATGATAGAGTCTAAACATTAAAAAGTTGTAAAAAAAGATTAATGTCAATGTAAATTTTCATTAATTACAATACATAATGTTAAGATTATGTAGATTGTATTAAAGATTAAACAAAATGAACGAGAATTTCTTGCTGTTTAGGTAAACATTTTTGGTTTGTAAACATGAAGATTCTACCAATGGAACACGATTCTCATAACGTGAATCTTATCATTCTAATAACGTGAATCTCATTATTTTAATAATGTGAATCTCGTCAACTTTTAAATGAATTTAAACTAAGATCAAGTTAAATGAGTTTTTCATCAAAATTAAAACTAGTATTGTAAATGATGGATGAAGGCAAACCTTGGCTGAATTGTATTTCATGTTTTTGAGACTTTTTTTAAACAGAAAATGCCATAGAAAAGTGTCAACTCCTAAAAAAGGAATGAGAAATGTCTGCATTTTTTTTTAATTTTTGAAAAGTTCAGTAGCTTTTTTTAAATCAAATTTTGTCACATTATTAAAAACAAGGAAAACAGCATCAACAAATAAATGCTTTTGAAAAAAATGTTTTTTTCTTTGCTAATTTGTTTTAATGAAAGTAATGTTGAATAACTACAGAGGTTAATGCATAAAACTATGTGGTGATTCTGTTGAAGATAAAATTTTTGATGTTTTTAATAAAGACTTTTGGCAAAAGTCCTCAGTCGGATGAAGGTACACTCCACTGCGCCCATTGCTAAATAAATCAGTCAGTGTATGTAGACTCCGCTGCGCTTGAAAATAACTAAATAAGCCAATGTATGTACACTCACTGCGCTAATCGCTAAATAGTATATGAATAAAATTGTTAAAAATATGTGAACTAGGGTGCGCGTGAAAATAACAATAAATAAATAATGAAAATAATAAGTTTAGTTTTAAAAATAAAAATTTTTAAGATTTTATATAGAAAGCTTAAAAAAACTTTATTTTTTAAATTATAGTAGTTACAGTCAACGATCGATAGGCCGGTTGAATAAAAAAAGCAACTGCTTGTACTCAGTAATTGGTCAGCTTACGTTAATAAAAATTTGAAAATTTTCCTTAAGTTTTTATTCAAGTAAAGCTGAGCAATTAAATTGTTTAACTTTACGTGAAGTATATTTACGTGAGTAAATTGTTTAACTTTACGAGAATAATAAAAGTTTGACCAAAACTCCTAAAGCTTTTATTCACGTAAAACTGACCAATTACTGAGTAAAAGCAATTAGTTTTTTTTATTTATCCGACCTATTAACAGCTAAATTAAACAATTATAAAAAACCAATTGCTTTTACTTATTTGAGTTGGCACATTGAGCAAGTTTTGAACTATAGTTGGCAAGTTACAAATATTGAGGACTTTTTTTTTTGTTGTTGCTGTCTCTAATTGGCAAAAAAATACATACAACACCCCCCCCCCCCCTCATGAAAGACCTCTTCGGGACAAGTTTTTATTCACGTTAAGCTGACCAATTACCGAGTAAAAGTAATTGATTTTTTTACCAATATTTGATTTACCCGACCTAATATTGTTAAATGCAAGACATGGCCTTCCTTGCGGTATAAATACTCATGACAGCCAACGCTTAAACCTGATATGCATCCCCATATACCAACAGAACCACCACATACATAACGACAAAGCCACTAAAATACGGTTTTGTGTGTGTTGCATTAAATATTTCTCCGTATTTTTACAACATCTTGCTATAGTGTCAAAACTAGAGATAGAAGACTTTCAATTAAATTCGGTAAATTTTTAAACTTTTTTTAACTTTCGGTTAAATTCGGAAGATATTAATTTTTTTTAATTAAATAAGAAACTTATTAAAGATTACATTAAAAGTTTGAAAATAGCTTCGAATATTCACTTTACGAAAATAATTGTTAGAATTGTTACGAAAATAATAGTTCGAAAATATCTTCGAATATTCACTTTACGAAAATAATTGAAGAAATTTGTTGCATATATCTTACAGATGAAACATTTTCTGTTAATGATTTTAAAATTATCTTTATTATTTTATGGTTATCTTTGGTAATGACCCATTGCCAAAGATAACCATAAATTAATAAAGATTTCAAAAAGCAGAGAGTCAAAGGCTGAACATGCTCTCCTCCTCCTTAGACGCCCTCCCCCCCTCCTTTTCTAAAATTTTAATTAAAATTTAATGTCCTGGTGAACAGTTTTCTACGAAAAAAAAAAGATTGCTACATATATTTTTTGTTTCAATACTTTTTTTACTTTCGTTACACTTAAATGTTCATTGCTCGACTAACTACGACGCACTTGCGCCAAGCCTTCATCTTTTGTACGCGTTTTATAAACTTATTTTAGCCATTTAACTTTAAATGTTACCAATTTACTGAACTTTTTATTTTGTTATCTCTAATGTTGTATCCGTACTTATAAAGAACTCAGTTTAAGGACCAGAAAATATTCGTTAAAAACTTTCCTAAAAAATGAAGTTGACTTTGGCTTCGGTGTCAAAAATAGAGATAAAAGATTTTCAATTAAATTTGGTATAACAATTTAAAACTTCATTTAACTTTCAGTTAAATTCGAAATTTATAAATTTTTTTTAATTAAATAAAAAATTTATTACTAATTACATTATAAGTTTGATAATAGTCTTTATATCTTTATATATTGATAATAGTCTTTGTATTTTCAAATATTGACCTCACGAAAATCATAAAAGAAATCGGTTAGCATATTCTTACAGAGGAAACATATTGTTATTATTAGCACTGTGGATTGTATAGTGATGAAGAGGTAAAGAAATTTGGGCAAGTCATTTCATCGATTAAGAAAATATTAACAAAAGTCCTAAAGTTTGTCGCATGTCTACAAATTTCAAAAACTTTTTAACAGTTGTTTTTTGTTTATAATATTTTGCTCATTAATGATGTATATTAAATATATTAACTTTTATATTGAATGTAAAGAAACTGAAAAACATATATTTTGAAAATAAGCTTCCTGAACAACATTTTAACGACCGTTACTTCCACCTTAAATTATCAATTTCAAGATATAAACCCTAATTTATTATATTTTTTTTCAAATGATATCGTATCTGCTCTTTCCAAATCTTTAAATTTTTCAGAAGCTAAAAATCCTGACATATCCTGAAAATCCTAACATATCCTGAAAAACAAACATATTTCACTCTGTTTGTATAGTGTCGAGCAAATAGAGTTTTTTCTTTTCTTTCTACAAGAAAGTTTATATAAATTAAATAAAGTTTAATACTTTATTCAATTTGAATAAATTTAATAAATAAAATTTAAATACTTTTGGTATTTATGGGTTATTCAACCATTTGACAAAGAAAAATCATAAGTTCAAAAAAAAAAGGCATCGTTCGTTCAAGAGGTATGGTTCATAAACATATATATATATATATATATATATATATATATATATATATATATATATATATATATATATATATATATATATATATATATATATATATATATATATAATAAGTATTCAAATATCGCAAAAGAAATCATCATATAATTATATTTTAATGATATTAAAATATAATCATAAATTAAATTATAATTATAAATTAAAAATATAATTAAAAAGATTAAGAAGGGATTTCTAGACTTTTAAAATTTAAAAAGAAGTAACAAGTCCTTATTTTTATTTTCCTCGTGGATATCCAACTTTAAATAGTTTTTTTATAAATATTTTTCTTGTTTTTCTTTTTTCTTAAATATGTGTTTTTCAAACCTTTGCTTCAACTTTAAGAAAAATATCTCAAATAGAAACAAAGCTATAGCAATGAAATTTTTACTGCGCGTTTTGTTAAAATATACCAAAACTATGGTTCAATCAAAGTGTTTAAAGAAATCATGATCTAAAAATTCGAACCCGCATATTTTATGACCTTAAAATTATTGCTGTTTAAAAAAAAGCCTGTTTTTTAAATAAAGGTATAAAGTATTTTAATAAATTTGGTACATGCTTTTAACTTACTAACAAGGAGTGTTTAATAGGTTAAAAACATGTAAGAATTTTGGGCCAAATTTAAAAGAATTTTTTTAAGTTCTTCTTAAATTATTAGGTCCAAAGGTTATATCAAAATTGAATCATTTTTAGGTAAATGTAAAAGAACTATAAAAGGGTATATTTTTTCTTTGGTAATGATGATCTACTTCACCTTCCCAGCTAATAAACAGCATTAATATAAAAAGAATCAATTTTATGAATGTCCTGGGAATAATTTTTAAGAGAAATTATAATCGAAAATTCACATTTTGCGCGTTTATAAGAAAAAAAAAAAAAAAAAAAAAAAAAAAAAAAAAAATATATATATATATATATATATATATATATATATATATATATATATATATATATATATATATCGTCACTTAATTTTTTTAAAGCAATAAGAAATATGCAACCATCTAAAAATCAGGTACTGTACTCAAATTAAGTTGGCCAACAAAGATTCTACCATTTTCGGGGTTAAGCAAATAGTAAGTAAGTAAAAGACAAGGTAGAAAAATAAAGCTAAGCAATTCATTTCTCATATCAGTTAACTTCTTGTATCAGTTAACTTCTCGTATCAGTTAACCTATGGGATTCCAAATAAAAGTGATGCATAATTGGATTAAAAGGAAACAACAAATCTGAAACAAAGTATTTCTAGTAAGGCTCGAATGAAAGTTTCGACAGAAAAAAGTGAAAAAATTGTGAGATCTTTATTACAGGACTCTCACTCAAAAATACTATTGGTTTGCATCTCTCAAAATTTTATGAATATATAAACTAAGTTTTAAAACATAGAAAGAGCCCCATCTTTACTGATCAAACGATCACCAGTTACTATCTAGAATCTTGTGAAATAAGCATTTACGTCATCAGCCACGTGCATGTGGAGTGCACCTTTGTTGAGATCTAATGATGTTTATTGAGACCTAATCTATTACAAAAAAAAATTTAACCTAGAAATAAACAAATTTTTGTCCTACCGTCTGTGTGTGCCTCTTATACAAGTTTTTGATGAACGAATATTAAAAGGTGCGGCTTCATATGCCTTTTATTTTGAGAACAATAGAAAACTTTTCAGGTGGTTTTTTTAAAATTCTATTTAGTATTTTAAAAAGTAAATGCACAGTGATATTTGAGTTGAAATATTATTTTTCTATTTACCACCGATAAACAAATAACACTAAAACCGCAATCGTGTTTGAAGTTCTATAACAGCTCAAAATTGTTTTTGTAAACAGTTTTTGTACACAATTTTTTTTTTAATTGCTAAAAATTGTTTAAGTGTAACAGTAACTTTGAGAGATACAGCTTAGCGGTTTTAAACAGTTTGATCAAACTTTAGAAATTCTAACTGGCAGTTTTAAAGCCATATGTTTGGTCAGTTTATTTACCACTGTTCGTCTTGGTTACGTTTTGTATTCGTATAGCTATTTAGTTTAGCTAGTTATATTATTTTAAATGGAAAATAAAAAGATCGTATTTATGTTTTGATATACTAAAGCTTAAATAATACTTCTCAAAAAGAAAATGGTTATAACTGATAAAAAATTAGGAATCTTTGGTGGTGGTGGTGGGTTGATTTGTTGAAATATTTTTGTATTTTATATCACATTCTCCTTATAAAAAGAAAAAAAAAAGCTCCTCCATTTCTAAGAAATTTAGGACTTTTAGATTCTATAAAAAAAAAAAAATATTTTCAATAAACTAAAAAAATAAATGGCGCCAAATTATTTAAATACAATATTTTTTTACGAAAATCAAGAACAACTTTCTCAGATATATTGGCAAATACGGTAAATAAAAAAATCATGCACAATATAACTATATAATGTATACTAATAGAGTGAATTCTTAAAAGCTTATCTCTGGTTTGTCTTATGTTTATAAGCTAACTGTGTGCGTCAACTAAGCCTACCCCCCGCTCCCTCGGAAAAATAAAAAACATCTACAATTCCTCTTTTGCCTAATCACTGAGTCTTGAACCCAAAGAAACTCATTTCAAATCAAGTCTCAAGCTATTTGGTTAGTCCGAGGTCGATTGATAAAGGCATGTTTTGCGTACTTTTATAAACCAAAATGAGAGAACCATAATTACAATTTAAAATAGCCGTTTTTCCATAAAAAACTCCGCTAGAATTTAGTATACTTTTTTATTTTCGATTTGTTGTGACACTAACTTTCACATTTATTAGCGGTATATCTCTTGATGTATCAAAAAAAAACACAAGATTATTTATAAATTATGCATGGCTACATCAAAGTTTTAAAAAGTATTAATTAATATAACTCTGATGTTCGATTTTATAAAATTATAGTCGACGCATTATAAATTAATGTGATATCGTTTCCAATAAAAATAAGCTAATTTTGCATTTTTCTTGATAAATTTTTTTTTTAATTAACATAATGTAAATATAGTAAGACAATTATATATATATATATATATATATATATATATATATATATATATATATATATATATATATATATATATATATATATATATATATATATATATATATATATATATATATATATATATATATATATATATATATTTATATATTTATATATATATATATATATTATATATATATTATATATATATATTAAATATATATTATGTATATATATATATATATATATATATATATATATATATATATACATACACATTTTTATATATATATGTATACACAATATATATATGTATATATATATATATATATATATATATATATATATATATATATATATATATATATATATATATATATATATATATATATATATATATGTATATAAATATTGTGTATACATATATATGTAAAAATGTGTATGTATATATATATATATATATATATATATATATATATATATATATATATATATATATATATATATATATATATATATATATATATATATATATATATACACATTTTTTTTTAAATCAATATAATAGTTTAATTTTCACAATATAAGTGAAAGCCATAAAGTTAAGCTTTTAATTTTTTTATTTAGATATAGCACCTATGCAGACCATTTAATTTTTTTTTCATTGCATATACTTTTATTTTGACAACCATGAAATTCTGCTATGACATATCAGTACAGTCAAACTGACAGCATACCCTTAAATGATTTTACCCCAACTTCTACGCCATTCAAGGCACCACTATTTAAAGGCCAGCCAGAAAGTGAACCTTTACTTCGAGCACGTAGAGCAGCCATGGCAAAGGTGAGACATAAAGCAAATTAATATTATCTATATATCTAAAATTCAAATATGTTTCAGTTTTTATAGATTTTAATGTAAATCAATAAATTATTATTATAGAAATAATTTTTTTAAATTTGGTTTTTAAAACCACATAAATGATGTGTGACATTGTTCAGTTTCCTTTAACATAGTTTCATATTGGTGCATAGAAGTTATTTAAATAACTGCATAGATATCATTTTAAAGAAAATTTAATTTTTTCTGCTTTTTACTCCTATCATTTTTGTTTCTTTTTTCCTTAGTCTATCGTGTTTTTATATTTTAATTTGGACAAAGTTTTTCGAAATGACTAACAATACAGTGGTGTGTAACTGTTGGAAAATTGTTATCATCAATAAATAATGTCATTTGTCACTTATTGATTTGTGATTTTAAGGGATTTTTTTTTCTTAAATTAAATTTTTAGAGTTATTTTCTTATGTAAATATCTATATTTAAAAAAAAAAAATTATGCTTTAAGTATAAGGTAAATAGTAAAGGCAAAATATATTTAAAATTTTGATGCTAAAAGTTGATTTTTATGAATAAAGTATTTAATAAATCTATTATTTATTGAAATTTCTATTTAGAGGCTCTCTACATCATCAGTTCCATATATGGCACTCCCTTCTGTCTCTGCAATATCAGCTGGTCAAGCAAAAACTGATACAGAATACAGTGGACTTTCCGACATTGGTGTAAGATATTAATTAGTTTTTTTATTGTTTGTAAAAAAGACAATAAAAAGTCTGTCTCATATTTTATTCTTTCTTTTATAATCAACTTTTATTATGATTGGTAATAAATTTTGAAAAGAAAATATCAGTAAATTTTGAAGAAATGAAACAAAAAAATCCACTTCTGAAAAATATATTTTGAATTATTATTTTAAAGTATAATAGATATTAAAAAAACCAAAAGTGATATTAGTAATGGAACAGTAAAATTTAACACTAATTAATAGTATTCCAGGTTTTGATGAATTTATTCCTTGAACTGTGCAAAATTTAAATGATATTTTGAAATGATATAAAACAAAAAATCAATGTGTGAGGACTTGATAATTATTATCTTTAAAGAATTATATTTACTATTTTCAAGTATTTTATTAAAAGTAGTTAACTTATCATTAAATTCTAGAAAAGTTCCTTTTAAATGGAAAAAAATCAACCATCATTCCTAAATTAATGTCATCAAGTTACTACAAGACAACCAATCAATATGCTTCAAATTTGTGAAAAAATCTTAGAACTTGATTTTTGTTAAGCAATTATCAAGTAATTTAATATATATATATATATATATATATATATATATATATATATATATATATATATATATATATATATATATTCTGTTTAATTTGACAATGCAATTGAATAACAGTAAATTTGTTATAGCAGTAATGCTAGACCTTAAAAGGGCATTTAAAATAGTTAACCAAGCAATTCATACAGAAAAGTGATAAAAGAAAAATTCTTACAGAAAATTTTTACAAGGTTAAAGGTAAAATTGTAAATGAGATTATATCTTATAATAAGAACTCATATAGTCAAAATCAAGAAGAAGGTTCTAGTAAATTTATATGTGATAAAGAGGTTTCACAGGATAGTATACCTCTTTTGTTTATAATTTACATGAATGATACAGCATCAAAATTTTAGTGTTTGTTTATCAATATGTTTGCTTATGATGCATCAGTGTGCATTGATGGTACGAACTTCAAAGAAGCTATTTATCAAGCCAAAGCAGTAACATAAAAATGATCATAATGGTTGACTTAATGGTTAAAACAGTTTTAACAAAATTATTTTCTGAATAATAGTTATTAAAGTTTTTGTTTTAGCATAACTCTAAAACTTACAGTAAAAAAAAAATACTCCAAAATAATAAAGAAAAAAAATAATAAATAATAAATTTAAAATAATCTTAATCATTCCAGAGTAATAAAATCTTAAGCTTTCTGTTTTAAAAATATTTTGTTATTATAACTAAATTTTTTTAAAATTATAACTCAGTTGTTATTATAACTCAAGAGCATTTAAAGAAGCTGATAAATAATGTTTAAAAATACCTTCTATTGTTAAAATTACAGCATATGTCGTTGTTAATGAAGTTTTGGATGTTGTATTATTTGAAACTAAATATACAAAAAAATACTAACTGTCCTAAATTTATAACATTATTGTGGAAATGCCAATGCAAATGATGCAAGGAAAGCTTTTAGATACCTTTTTCAAAGCTAAAATTGTTATGAATGAACTGTTTTAACATAATAAAATTTTCTATGATGTATTTTTGGTTTGTTTAGAAAATATAACTATAATGCTAAACACTTGATTCCAAAAAGAGTTGTAATTTGACCTGCCCAACTTGTCAACTCACAAAACAGTATTGCAAAAATTACTCAATTGAATGAGTAGAAAAAATTTTCATAAATAATAATTTTCAAAACGTGTTTCATAATATAACATCAACTGGAAATGAAGTATATAAGTCATTCTGTGTAAAGAATTACATCTACACAGCACTAGACAGCACTAGACAAGATGTCAACTTTCATTGTTCAAAACAATGAAAGTTGACATCTGTTAAGTTTTTTTTCTTTAAATTCCTATCTATTCCAGAGATGTTGGATCCTAAAATTTATTTTGTTTTGTAAAAAAACTTATTTTGAGAGGCAAATTGAGCTGATTGAAAATGGCAAATTCGCTTTTTAACCTTATTTAGAAATCATAGTGCATACTTGGATTTTTATCTTTTTTTGAGTCTTAATATCTATTAAGGCTATTTGTTGCACTTAATTTACTTAGATATTTGTGATTTGTATCATGTAGGTTTTATAACCTACACAATGCGATTAAAAAAAAAATGGTGTGAATGTAAGGGCCTGGAAAAGATTAAGTATTTAAAATTTATTTTTGTGATCAATGTGTCATTAGATTACCCACAATTAGTAAGTGACCAGGGCGTAAATTCAACCAAGGCTGTGGTCAGGTTTGATAAAAATAGCCATAGCCGGGTTTGTGACTAGAGCTGCATAAACGTTGATACATCCTAATGTATATTTTTTTATTCAAAATTTTGTAATTTACATATTCATGTATATTTGTATATAAACATTATCATGATCAACATTGTCATTATCATCATTTTCAACCAAACCACTTCAATTGTTTCAATGTTTTTCTAAGATATAAGGATATTGCATGCCAGCATCAATATTCTTATGTTTTAATAATAATAAGCAGCATGCATATATAAGATTATATCATATAATTAAATTTATAATATGGATATATATTATAATACATATATGCTTAAATGATTATATCATTTAAGCATTTAAGTATTATAATATATATCCATATTATAAATGCATAAATATGTCTTTTACCTAACCTTCTGTATCCAAGCAGGTATGGAGGCTTTTATTCCATCTTGTTGGTTAGTCAAGCTTCATTCTACTTCAAGCCTCATTCTACTTCACCGTTTTTACAGTTCTTGTGCAGTTACTATATTAAACTGTAATCATTTTTTAAATTTTTTTTATAAGAACATCTCTTTTGAGAACATTTTTTATTGCAAGAAATCAATGTAAATAGGTCCTGTCTGGTACTAAGTTCTTGTATCTTATCTTAAATGTTAGGTTCTGAGACTTTTGGAAAATCTTTAACAAGTAATAAATTGACCTCTCTAGTTTTTGTAAATGTACAATTAAATTCCGAACTGTCAAACGACGGATTAATAAAACTAGATAGAACTGTAAGCCTAACATCAAGCAGCAAGATGGTAGAACTAAATTTTTAAAAGAATTTCTTAAGAGCAGGTCAACACTTAAATAATTTTTTCACCTGCAGTGACTTACTGGTGGAAAAGGAGATTCTGGTGCAGTTTGGGTTGTTGCTCACTGCAATGATTTATCTAGTCTTGCGAATCATGTTGTTTAATCTTGCAAAATTTCTGGTGGAGATTTTGTTAAGCTTGGAATTAATGGTAGTAAAGGTTTTCTCAAGTTTTTGAGTGAGAGGTTGTTTTTGAAGCTCACTGCTTCAAAAACAACCTCTCGCTCAAAGGAAAGTTAGAGACATTTACATTATGCATAAGCCAATTCAAACTACACTTTAAATAGAAAATCAATATTTTTGTCTATAGAATGAAAATGTTACATGTAGCAATAAAAAAATTATAAAGAAAGTTGTTGATATTACTTAGTAGATCACTCATGTAATCTTTATTTTGCAAATAGTGATTGAATATCACAGTAATTGGTAACATTTTGAGGTCTAAGTAGCAAAAAACTAACAAAATATAAACTAAAACTGCCATAAATCCTTAAACAGTAAACCAATCCAACTGAAATTTTATCCAGAGTTTGGTGTAGCTATATGCTACAATATGCATCAATTTTTATCAAATTATATGTAATGGTTCTCATTTTTCAGGTGTTTTTATTGTGGCACTATAAAGTTGTTATGAAGATTTCAAAATGTGTATCACAGGATAGCATGATGTGTACACTTTCACCCCATATAAGTGGTGTTCTTGGGTCAGCTAGGTTGGCATAAGCAGGATCTGTGCTATATATATGACAAAGTTTAACAATATCACAACGTTTAACATCAGAAATAACATGTCTTAATATCACAAAGTTTAACATCAGAAATAATATGTCTTAATATCACAAAGTTTAACATCAGAAATAATGTCTTAATACCACAAAGTTTAACATCAAAAATAATGTCTTAATATCACAAAGTTTAACATCAGAAATAATATATCTTAATATCACAAAGTTCATCAGAAATAATGTCTTAATATCACAAAGTTCATCAGAAATAATGTCTTAATATCACAAAGTTCATCACAAATATTGCATAGTTATTAAACTTTTGTTTCAAATAGTTTAGTTTTATTTTTAAATACGCTAGAGAAGCAAGTTAATTTAATGCACAAAATATCATCTATGTCGATATATAATAATTTAATCATATTAATATTTTTATTAAAGGTGTGTGTTGTGTAACCAACATAAGATACAAAAAGGTTCATAATACCATTGTCTAGATTGCGATGTCTGACAAGTTATTACACAAAGAGTGAATAATGATGCATTAATTTTTAATATTTCGCATTAATATATGCTTTTTATTTTATAGAGTATCTAGAACATACTTAACAATACCTAATAATGATAACAATGCCTAGTCACAAACATCACTAGAAAATGTCTACTGATGTTTTTGAAGTTTTCAAACCTCTTTGTAATAGTGAATAGGATAATAGTAGGCGATGTAAAGAATTTAGATTTGAGCATTTTATTTTGTTGACAAAAAAGCTTGCTCTGTCTGCCATAGGTTAAGTAATGGATTAAAAAGTGTGATTTTCTAAAAGTATGTGTTCTATAAGAATTTAATATCATAAAATAATTCAGCACAACCAATTTGTGGACAAAACAAGATTTGATAGTATTAAAACTTTTTATTTTTTTATTTTTTCCATGTGATGACACGTTGTTATCATACCTTTTAAATAAATGTTTTGCTTTGCAAATTTTGTAAAGGACTTCTAATAAGAAATTTCCATGTCATGATGATTGGAAATGACAGTGTTATTTTCCCCAGTACCAGAAACACTTTAACTAATACATCTAAAAACTGTGAAGCGTTGTCTAAGATGATAAAAACAATTCCAAATATTTGACTTGGTTTAAAGTTTTTTTAAATCAGGAAAATCATTTTTAGCTTTAGCCAAAATAAAATTAGCAAGACAGAAAGCATTTCTATTTCACTAAGTCTATTTCACATCAGCTGTGAAATAGACTTTTGTTCTCATTTGACCAATTTTACGAAGGAAAAAAAAAAGTTTCAATAATTTTAAAAACTTTCTCAGATACACTATGAATTGAATGCATAAAACCGATAGAATGGTATGATAAATAGAAAAATAAAAAGAATTAAAAAAATAGGCCCTTGGTTTTTTTGGCCAAATTAGAAATGACTTCCATTTATGAATATCTCTCTAAAATAACAATATATACTAATATATTTTAATGATAATTAAGAATTTTATTTAATAGGTAATTTAAACAATTTAAAAATAATAAAATAATGTAATTTTTAAATTACAAATGTCATTTATATATATTTTAAAATGTGAATAGTTAGTCCATTAGATTAAAATATTTTCAACCTAACTTTAGGTCCTAACATCAAAAATGATTAACAAGATTGAGACATAAGGGTACATACTTTCATAAAGTATGTACCGAGTTATAGGGAAGCAGTCAGCATTCAGGTCGACATTGCCGAATACCGGCGCAAAAGCCGACCTATCTTTGCTTTAGGATGGCATACAACTGCCAATCTGAATATCCTTAAGTGTTGGCATCCAAATTAAAATACATATAAAAAACATATAATATTCGTTAAATATTATTTTGTAAATTTTTTATTGTAATTACTAGCTTTTCAAGTTTGACATGTTTTATTAAAACAATAATTCATTTATTTTTTTTCAATTCATTTTTTCTTTTTTTCTCAAATTATTTAAGCATAGCAAGGTTAAAAAATATTACTTTTTAAATGCCTATTGCTCTCACGCTTTTTTAAGCACAATTATTATTTTATTAAGTTATAAAATCTAATTTTAATTTATTTTATTAGTTCAAATCATTTAGCTAATAAAATAATTTATTTACATGTTTACAGTTTTTTTTTAATATTTAAGATCAGAAAGTATATTAGGAAAGTTTAGCCTTGGTATAGTTACGTTAAACACATGCGGAGAAGAAACATTAGTTACAAAACTTTTTTTTTAATTTGGTAGAAGTTAAGGCTTCCATTAAATCGCAACAGTAATACAGTAAGCAAATCTAAACAAGTCATAATGCCTAACAGAACTGTCATTGAAAAATGGGGGTTTAAATTCTGCGGATTTCAAACTGATGATTCAGGTGAAGTAATTTTAATATGGTGTAAAACTTGCCAAGAGTATTCAAAGCTTTTAAAAAATTATCCTAATTAAAATAAAGATTGTGCTAAATTTGCAACAGAAACGTTTGCTTAGTTTTGTAGAGTTCATACTATACTACAACTAAATATTGAAAGACACCACCCCTACTACTGGAGAATCAAATGCTTATTTCTTGTAGAGGTTAAACAACCAGATGTAAACTGTCTACTCATTTTGTTAAACAATTTGCCATTTTAAACAAAGTCTTTGCCTACAGCACATAAACTAAATTGTTGTATTTCTAAATGATGTTTGTATAAATGACCATTGTATTTCTAAATGACGTTCTTTCTATGAGCAATCTAAAAAACCAATTAAAATGTAATAAATAAACTATGACCATTTTTTTTTTAAACTTCAAAACTAAAAAATCACTAATTCATAAATTTGCTATATACTTGATTAACTAAATAAATTTGCTACATTCTATAAAATACTATTGTCTAAAGCTATGCTATTATAAAGCAATCCTTTTATAATCAATTAATCATTACCCCTATTATAACAGAAAGCAAAAAATCCTCTTTTTTTTTGCTGACATGACGTTGGCTAAGGTCGGCATGCTTGTGCCGAGCTCAAATCTTTATTATTTTTATTTTTATCTTTGTTATCTCATTTATCTTTTTTGCTTATTTTTATGTTTTGCATACTTTTTATTATATCTGTATTTTTATTCATTTATAGAATATTTTGGAGATTTCAACTGAAGAGCAACAAATCATTTCTAGCAAGTTTGAAGTATGAGCCTAAATTGAACAAATTATTTTGCTTGATTTGTATTATTTGACTTATTTAATTTTTAATTATGTTAATTGTTATTAAATATTTTTTCATTGTTGTTAAGTTTCTTTTTACTTATTAGAGTTTAGACTATGATATCCTTGAAAATATCCCACAAAAGAATGAACTAAGCACATTTACATCTGAAGTGAGTTTCTGCTAAAATAAATTGTTATAACATTTCATTATACATTTTATAATATTTTTTAATGCTGTTAAATATAGTTATTTGTTTATCAATATCCTGATTTAATAAATCCCAAATGACTAATCTCTAACACTTTTTAGCGGTTTAATAAAGTGAATATTTATCGATGGATTATCATGCTTATGATTGGTGTTCTTACTGCTCTCTTTGCTGCAACCATTGATATATCAGTTGATAAGTTAGTCAGCTGGAAATACAGAATTATAAAAAGTTGTATCTTTTCTGCTGGAAAAAAAAAAAGAATTACAAATTGTGATAATTACATTAATAACTATAGCTTATAATAATTAATAATGTAAGTTTTTTTAGTTACATGAATTTACTAATGTATTCATTAACATTTTAGATACCTTCCGGATAAAAAAAATGAGACCGCGTATTCAAAATTTTTGTTCGTATTTTTACAATTTTTGACAATGACTTTTTTTGTATTACATGAAACCCATTGCTTGATTTATCAGGTGCATATATATTTATCAAAAATTCTATGTGTTCATTATTATTTCTGATTTACCTAAAAATAATTATTTTAGAAATGAAATCGTCAGCGATGATACTTGACTATCTTTTTAAAGCGGGTCATAAAGACCTAAAGTCTTTGATGAAATTAACGAGGATACCTAAGGCAACAGTTGCATAATATTTAAAGAAAATAATGGAAGGAATGAGTTTAGAGAGAAAGAAACGAAGTGGTAGACCAAAAAAACCTAATATAAAGGACCAACAACAATTGATTCAATCAGCTCGAAAAGATGACACACAATCCGCCCGAGATATTCAAATTGAATTAATCAAAAAAGACAGTCCCAAGGTTGTTCCCATTCCCATTCTCCAAGGTTGCTCAGAACCATTACTCGTTTTCTTAACCAAAGTGGGTACTTCAGTTTCGTTCCCAAAAATCAACCCTTATTGACTCCTGTTCAACAAGAAAATAGGGTAAAATGGTGTGAAGAACACCTAAGAACAAGATGGAATCAATGGGTATTTAGTGATGAGAATTGTTTCGAGTTATTTTGAACTTGAGAAGGTTGATGGGCAAAGAAACAACCAAGAATTCGCAAACCAAAGTTCAAACAGAGTTTCATAGTTTGGGGGGCGATTAGTTCCAAAGGTAAAACATTATTGCTTATAATCAAGGGCACTGTGAATAGTGAAAAATACAAAGAAATACTTTCTGAAACTGAGCCAACTCTAAAAAATCTTTTCCTAAGGAGTTTTACATTTCAACAACATGCCACACTTCAAAATCAGCTTCTAAGTGGTTTACAGAACATATATGGAAAGTTTCTTCTTGGCCCGCTAATTCACCGGATCTAAACCCCATTAAAAATGTGTGTGTTAATGAAAAAAGCAGTGGAAAAAAAAACTAAAAAATTTAGATGATTTAGAGGCTGCAATTTAAGAAGTGTGGAACGGACTTTCCTTGGATTATTTGAAGTCATTAATTGACAGTATGAACCGCCGTGTTTAAAAAAGGTATAGAAGTCCAAGGATACGGGACCGGATATTGATCAATATATTATTTTAAAAATTAAGCTTTACTCTTTATTTTCTATTGAACAATTTTATTATTCGTTTAATATTTTGAAAATAAAATTTAAAAATCTTGGTCTCATTTTTTTTGTCTGGAATATACATGTATTATATTATTATATATTTACATAATAATATAAATATATAATAATATAATGCATATATATATATATATGTATGTGCATATATATATATATATATATATATATATATATATATATATATATATATATATATATATCACAGGCTATTCTAGACTGTTTTCGACAGCGTGGACCATATTTAAAAATTGTCAACTTTTTTTTTTAATGTTTTTTATGACAATTTTTTTTTTTTTTTTTTGCGAAAAAATGCAGATATTTCTGCTAAATTTCTCCGGGAAGGGGAGGTACCGCCGCCCAAATTTTTTTCCTAGAATAGCTTCTGTATATATATATATATATATATATATATATATATATATATATATATATATATATATATATATATATATATATATATATATATATATATATATATATATATATATATATATATATATATTTGCAAGTCAAATTTTATAATAAGAAAAATTTGTAAGGTTTAAAAATAAGAATCTTTAAGTTATCAAATTTGTATTAAAGTTTAAGAATATTTATGTTTGCAAAATTAAACATAATTTTAAAACTAAAACAATATTTAGTCTTCAATAAAAATTATAATTCAAAAATAGCACAAAATTTATAATAAATAAACAAAAAAAAAAAAAAAAACGAATATTGGTAGAATAATTGGTAGAATAAACATAGCATTGATTTCATAAAAGTCTACAATTGGAAAGTTAATTAACTGTTAATGAACTTTTTTTGAATAAAGCAAATTCTCTTGTATAAAATGACTAGAAATGGTAATCTTGGTAACCTTTCTTAAATGTCTGAAAAATAATAAATAAAGCAAGTTTATGATTGGTTGGAAAAACTTTTATTTTAAAACATCATAACAATTTAAATTAAATAAATTAGTTTTTGTTTTAAGATTTAAGTTATTATTAAATAGTAAGTATAAAAATAATCATTAAATGCAAAAAATGTAAAACATTTATTTCTTTTAAATAGAAATGTTTTTTATTTGTATTATTTTGTTAGAAAACAATTTTATAAAAAAAGATTATTTGATTTACAAATTTTTTTTTACGTCATTTAAAAGGCTACGGGGAGAAGTGGAAAAGTGAATTATGAGTTAATCATTGTAGTTTAAAATTTGAATCCAAATAAACAATAGGACACGCGTATGCTATTATATACAATAAGCAATAGCGTACACTGAGTGTTCTAAAAATTATTTTTTTCTTCAGTTCAGAAAGTCATTATTGAAGGATATATATATATATATATATATATATATATATATATATATATATATATATATATATATATATATATATATATATATATATATATACATATATATATATGTATGTATGTATGTATGTATGTATGTATGTATGTATGTATGTATGTATGTATGTATGTATATATATATATATATATATATATATATATATGTATATATATATATATATATATATATATATATATATATATATATATATATATATATATATATATATGTATATATATATATAAAATTAATCATGTTATATTATTAAAAAATATATTTTTGTTCTTTATTAATAATAACAACTCTTGTTTATTTGGAGATTAAAAGTAAAATAATTATTACAAAATAGATCAGCAATTAGTAAAACAGTAAATAAAAAAAAATATATACATTTTTAGATGGAATATATATGTCAAGCAACTGTCACCTCTACAAACATTATTACCCCCTCAATGGAAAATCCTACTGTGGCATCAATGAAACTTCTTTTATATTAGCATATGCTAACCATGTTGAGTTTTTAAACAACCATCAACACAAAAACAATACTGAATCTCTTACGGAGTTTTGGAAGTTGGAAGAAGCTAATTTAAATCTTTTAGTTAACATTTAACTGACTAAAACAGTCTAAAAAATCACCCTGGACCAATAAATTGTTTTTTTATTGAATAACTGTTAATGTGATGAAAATTTAGGTTTTCCCATGACCCCATTTCAGGCTTACATGGATAATTCAACAAAAATTTTCTTTTCATAGTAAGATTTTTTTTTTAAACATCTTCACTTCCAACAAGGCTGCTAGCAACCATTACTAGAGTTGGAAGTTACTGGAAGAGAAAAGATAAAGTTTATAAAGCAAGATAACGATTAACAAATGACTTTAAGAATTGAGAATATCAACATATTCTCATTGCTTTTAAAGTATGATTTTATTACATATTTAAAAATCTAAAATCTATAATAATATCTTTAACAATTGTTATACTCTCTGCATCTTTCTATTAATTATTGTTAAATGAATAAAACTGATAATTGTATTACTGATGTTAGAATAATGGTCTAAATACAAATAAAAATATTTCAATCAGAGGAAGGTTAATTGGATAATTCTCAAATTTTGTGAAGCATACAATTCTGCAAATAAACATGTAAAATATTTTCAATGAATTTTAAAAACTTTATTTCTAAAGATACCAACCTATTAAATAAAGGGAGTGAGATTGTTTGTAAATGTATACTCATTTTTCAATTTCACACTGGTATATAGTAAAGATGTTTTTTCTCCATTTTTTGACATAAAAATTTTTGATTCCAAAAATTTTATTTGTATTCAGTAGTTTTTTTTTTTTTTTTTACTGCTACAGTATTTTTAAACTTAACAGTCACTGCAACAGATCTAGATAATTGTATATACGACTCTTGCATTGCGCTTCCATATGTTATCTGGGTGGGACTAGATTCTGCTTTTGTATTTTTCGCTACAGTACTTGTTATTTATGGAGAGGTGAACTTAATTATCATACTTTTTAAATGCGTGTGTGTTTTCGCATGTGTTAATCCAATTATTATTAACCTCCTTTTTTTTAGCCAGTAGCAGCAGGAAGTGGTATTTCTCAAATCAAGTGCTATTTAAATGGTGTAAAAATTCCACATGTTGTTAGAATTAAGGTGAATTTTTTTGTTATTTAAATGGTGTAAAAATTCTGCACATCATTAGAATTACTAATATTATTTTTTTTTTATTATTCATTTTTATTATTTTTATTTTTATTTTATTAATTATTATTTAATAAAAATTAGAAAAAGTAAATTTTTTAATCAGTTAATAACCAGAGTTATTAAAAAAAAAAAGTAAACTCTTAAGCAGCTTAAGAAATTTTTGGATATTGAACAAATATTAGTTTAAATATATAAGCACCAGTTAATTCAGTATTATGTGTCTATAAAAAATTGGAAAAAAGTAAAAAATAAAAAATGATTTGTTTTTTAGACTCTGATTATTAAGACTGTTGGATTGGTTTTTTCTGTTGCTGGCGGTTTAGCTGTTGGAAAAGAAGGGCCGCTTATCCATATTGGTTCAGTTATTGCTGCTGGAATTTCACAAGGGCGTTCTACTACTTTTAGTAAAGATTTCCATTTATTTGAAGTTTTTCGAACCGATCGTGAGAAGAGAGATTTTGTAGCAGGTGGAGCTGCATCTGGTTTATCTGCTGCATTTGGAGCGCCAATAGGTAAATTTAATTATATTTATATAGTAGCATATGTATGTATGTATATACATATGTATGTATATACATACATACATACATACATACATACATACATACATACATACATACATACATACATACATACATACATGCATACACTGTTTAACATGAAGAAAACTGCTTAGCATGTTATTTTGCACTTATAAAATTAAAATATCTGGTTAATAAGTGGGATTTTGTGTGCTGTTGATAATGTGTCCACATAAGTGGTTTGCAGAGTATTTTATACAAAATCAAAAAAAAAACATTTTTTTCCTAATAAATTCTTGAGAGAAAAATCGTCTTGTTACAAGGTCGTTTGTTCTAGCCTTGCTGATACTGATATTTTTGTTGTTCAAAAAGTTAAAACCCTGTCAATAAAAGCAGGATTTATAATCAATGTTTTTCTTTGTATATTTTATTTTTATAATGTGAATGATTTTACGAAAAGATATTAATGTTTACTCATTTAACTTATAGATGTTGTTATTATTATTTTTTTTTTTACTTCAAGGTGGTGTTTTATTTTCTCTTGAAGAAGGTTCAAGTTTTTGGAATCAAGCTTTAACCTGGAGAATGTTTTTTGCATCTATGATGTCATCATTTACATTTAATATTCTTCTTTCATTATATCATGGAAAGTTTGGAAACTTTGAGTATCCTGGTCTCATCAATTTTGGTCGATTTTTTGTATGTTTTATTTATCATTATTATTTTAAAGTGTATAATGTTATAATTTTTTGTTCAGAAGTTAGTGTTAGCATTGTTCATTGTTTAGAACTTAGCATCATTTTTAGTAGCATAAAGATTCTTTTTTTTTTGTAAAATTTCTGTTTGTCAAAGTTATTGTTTGGAATTGAAAAAGGGATTAACAATTAAATAAAAATAAAAATTACCTCCTTGAGTAACCTCCTTGAATTAATTTCACTATGGAGAGGTCAAGATGTTTAATAAGCCATTTTAGTCAATGGCAGTGCAATCCGTGAAGAAATAAAAGCTTTTGTTTCAATTGGTACACTTTACATATTGAAGTTTTAATAATTCACTATTACTAGCACTCTTTTATATTTTTTGATGTTCTATTATACTAACTGCTTCAAATTTGGTTATACAGCTTTTTTTTGTTGGTCTTTGTTGAATTCAGTGTTTTTTAAATTTAGTGCTTCCATATTCTATATGAGTTTTTTTATTTGATTTAAGGCTGAGGTTAAATATTTGTAGGGTTATTGCACATTAAGTTAGTACTTTAATAGAATTTAAGGCTAAGGTTGAATATTTTTAGTGTGGTTGCACATAAATGATTCTATCCTTTGATGCTTTTGGCCTGTTTCCTTGAGTTTAAACAATGAGTAATTTGGAACCATGCCCATGTTTTCATGTGAGTTTAATTTTACATGTAGTATTACTGAAGTAGTAACTGTTTGGAATTGATATGTTTATAATTTTACTTTTTTGTTTAGCAAAATAAGTTCTAAGTTTGTGTTGCCCAATCTGAGATTTTTATTACTTATTTTGTTATTTTATTTTGTTAAAGAAGTTATATATTAATATTTTGTTATATAATATTTTGTTAAAGAAGTTATCAATATTCATCACAGGTCACAATGCATTACCTTAGTTTCATCATGCATTTTACAATTACTATTTTTGATGACTTCTGGTTATAGTTTAGAGTTTGACTTAAAAGTTTACAAGTTTGGGTTTACAACATTGTTTACAAGTAGTTTCTGTTGTTGGACACCACTTATAACTAATGTTGATTCTATTTTGTCATGTACAACTTGTTGCCTCTTACCCCAAAATAAACTATTTTTATAATTTGTCACTGGCACAGAGGATGCAAGCGTGAGCAGTAATTCTATGAGATTGTATCAAGAGTCAAACAAAAGAATATCAATTTTTTTGCCACACAAAAGGTTGTTTTGAGCTTTCTGCTTTTTTTAAAGTTGCATCTACAAAGGTTTATTATCGAAAAAAATAATACTAATTAAAGTTCTTTTTATTATTTAAGTTGGAATTAAAATGAGATTAAATGACAATTAAGCTTGGTACTTTTTGTAACCTTTTTAAAAATTAGTGTTACATTTTTTAGTTTCCAAAATGAAGTGAGTTAGTTATTCAGTAAAATCTTTTCAAGATTAAGTTATTTTTGCAAATGAAAGTTTTATTTGGGATAGGTTTAGTAAGATATAGAGATAAAATGTTGCTTTGTGTACAGTGAGAGATAATGGTTACTTTATTGATATTGATAACGGGATTTGCCAGCTAAAAACCCAGCAGTATTGCTTTTGGTGTGTAATGTGAAAATTCAATTTGTTGTTTTAATGGTCAGTAGTCATATTTTTTTAGCAATTTTTCAATGAGTTGATAAACTGACATATTGCATTTCTCCATTCAGTGTTTAGGTTCAGAAATAATAGAATAAAATAAGAAGGTAATCTGAGTTAACTTTTTCTTTCCCAATTTATGATATTTAAAAAAAAATAAGTTACAATGACATTCAATATTTTAAAAAAACAATTGGGAATCGGCGCGTTTATTTTTGAGTTGCACATTTTGCCATCAAGTAGGAAGTAGCAAAACCTAAGCATTACTTAAAATTAAAAAAAAGATAAAAGGGTTTGATTTTTGAATTTAAAGTTTGTGTTGCCAAATGGCAACATTGGGAAAGAAAGGGTTAATTGATTAATTTATATCAACATTTTTTTGTAATATATGCTTATCAAATATTGTTTTTGATATATTTATGATATTTAAATTTTAAAAAAAGTTTAAACTTTATTTGTATTAATACTTTTGTTATAAGGAATCATACCGTGGATACGAAATTCCAATGTTTTTAATTCTGGCTGTATTCGGTAAGATTTATGTAATAGCTTATTCATTGTAGTTAAGTAATGTCTTATATAAAATATTGTAATATAAATATAAGCTATATAAAAATAAATTATTTAAAGTATAACTAACTGTATTATTCTGTACCATACATAGTCAATTATTCAAATACAAAACCACAAGTTATTGTTTATATCTGTTTTATATATTTTACTTGTTCTATTGATATTTAAATTTTTCCGTTATAATATCCGTCAATTTTCTTTATGATTTGTTTTGAATGATCTAGAACATGTATTTCATGAAATTTATTATCTGATAATGTAACTGTTTAACTTATTTAACTTATAATACTTACAATATGCAAATGCAAATCATGTTTAACATCATTTAAATGGAATGATAATAACATGACATCACAATACTTGTAATGTAAGCAAAGGTGATAGAAAAATTATTATTTTCCAGCATGGAAAATAAGAAATCAAAGGCTAGCAACATATGGAATTGACAGTCAATTATTATTTGGACAGTAAAAGTTTTAATTTTTTTCTTTGTTTAGATTTTTGTCTTTGTAATAGTTCTTCATGACTGAACTTTATAAATACAAAAATAACTTAATGCTTGAAAATTAACGAATTCGTATTCCTCTTAATATGATAATTTTGAATAAAATCAACAAATTTTTAAAATGGAAATTCGCTAATAACACTTATAATACCTGCTAATGTTTAAAAAATTCTTGTGCACCCAGATTTTCATTTAATTAAAAAAGGAAGTTTTATAATATTCAAGTTATTGAATGTTGAATTTTTTTTTTTTTTTGTAAATATCAAAATATTTTTATTAAATATTAAAGAAATTTAAACTGAATATTTATTACTATAGTAAAATGCTACTATAAAATTACTTATATTACATAAAGCAAAGTTTTAGGCAATACAAACAACATAAACAAAATAAAAATGTGCAAACAGGCAATTAATAATTTTGAATTTACTTAAAAATAATTCATTCTTTACAATGAATTTGCAAAAAAAAGTTACAATAAAAATAGTTAAAAGATTAAATGGAAAAAAAAAAGCAAGGAACAGTTGGCAAAGAAAATGTTCTTAGTTACATGCAACATTTCAAATAATAATAAAATATTCAATTTTTAAACTCAACAATGTTAAAGGAAAAAAATGATTGCACATTTAGTATTTCTGCTTATTAAAATCATTCTATGAAACACTGCTATAAAAATTACTAATGTTACATATAGCAAGATTTTTACTAATTATATTTTTTATTTAGTAATTTTAAATTTACCTATAAATTATTTATTTATTGCAATTTGTGGCAAAAACTTACAAGAAAATAGATTAAAAGATTTTAAGAAGGAAAAAAAAAAGGTGACTAAGTACTGTTAAAAGAAATTCAAGAGACAAATTAGAAGAAAAGTTCTTTGCAAAAAGTTCTGTCTTATACTTGGGAGAGGTAATAAGATCAGGCATTAAATGCATTAGAGACCATGAATTAGAGGTTTTTAAAACCTGTCAATGACACTATCAAAGATTTTCCAAAAATCTTTAGAACCTAACTTCTGAGATAAAATACAAGATTTAGTAAATTCATAATACTGAAGCTTAGTGTCAGACAGCATCATTTTGCATAGGTTTCTCACAATAATAAAGATATTTGTTCTAGGTGAAATGGGTAGAATGAGGCTTGACTTGAAACCAATGAGAAGGAATAAAAGCTTTCATGCCTGGCTGATTCCAAGAGATTGCATCTGAGTTAGAGGTTGAGAAATAAAAAGAGTTATAATCTCTAGTGTCAGCAGGATCAGTGCTAGATACAAGCGGTCTGGTGCTAGATACAAGCAAATCAGTGTGATAAGCATTATTGTCACCAATAACTATTGGCTACATTTTCAAGGGAAAGGGCTCAAATAATTTGATTATAAATAGCATCAAAAGAGTCCAGTCTTTAGAAGAAGAAGAATGATAATAACAAAAAGTGATTTAGTGAAGAGGTGCTACCAGAAGCACATAAAAGAATTGTAAGAGTATTTAAACTTGATATCATGACAAATAGGTCAATTATTGATAGCTAGGTATATGCCCAGGCCAAGCATGTGACTTTTGGAATCTTTGAGAATCAAAAGATAACACCCAGCTGAAGTCCAAACATGAAACAGCCAAATTTAAATTACCCTGTGAAATTTTTTTCTCAAACTTAAATCGTACATAGGTTTGGTGAATTCTAACTAGTTGTTCAAATTTTTTTTTGCTAAAAAGGTAAACATTCGGTGATTTGTTTCACATTGTTTTTTTATTTCACAATGTTTGACAAAAAATTTATGGAAGTTGAAAAAAAAGAAGCCTTTTCTTCTCTTCACAAATGAAAATTAATTCACAGTAGATCAAGCACAAAAAATCTAGAAATAACAGGTTCATAAATACATCCATGATAATATTTCTGAACACATCAGAACTATTTCTGAAACAAAACATCCTTCTTAAGTTATGTTTGGACTTTTTGCATGTAATGGATTATAAGTGCCACCTGTCTTTCTAGAAAAAGGGTTTAAAATGGAATAAAAAAATACTTGGAAAAAAACTCGAAGGCTGAATACGCGCGAATTTTGTAAGTGTGAACTGTCATAAGTGCGATGATAATTCACACTTATGCCAATGTTAACAAATTCTTTTAGAATACTTATGTCAGTTCGCATTTATGCCGATTCGCACTTATGTCAGTTTTTGGATCTGCTTCACACTTATGCCAATGTTTGTAACTTTATTTGGCGCACTTATGCCAGTTCACACTAATGCCAGTTTTTGTAACTGATTCGCACTTATGACAGTTGCAAATTGTTTGCAAATTCTTTTGGTGCACTTCAGTTTGCACTTGTGCCAGATTTTATAACTGTTTTGTACTTATGCCAATTTGCACTTATGCCAATTCACACTTATGTCAGTTTGCATTTACACCATTCGCACTTATGAAGTTTATCATCTTTACTACAACAAAATGGAAACACTCTTACTAAGTCCTCTACTTTACGTTTTTTATTATCTATTGCTACTAATTTCTCATCAGGCCAGCAAAAAAAGTTTGATACAAAGGTCCTACCATAAAATATAGAAATGAGGTCAGCATTTTTTTGCAGAACTCAAACACTTTTAAGCCGGCAGTTAGGTTGGTATTGTCGAATGTCGACCTTAATTCTGAGGGTTGATTGATTGTAAATTTACTTCTATCTATGATTTCCTTTATCGTACTTTTTTTTACACTCTAAAGGTTTCACTCTCTACTTCTATAAATCTCTTGAATGTTCTTATATAAAATACTGTTTTTATTTTTGGGTTTTTTTTTAACGCTGTTTCTCTTTTAGACAAGGTTTAAAATGCATTGTAAATGTAGTTGGATTTGCACTAACTGCTAATTTTGAACCTCAGTCCAATATATGTAAAGTTCCATCTTTTCCTTCAAATACTACCATGGTTGCTGCTCAAAGAAGCATTTCTACCAATCAAAACACTATTTCGCTTGACTCATCATTTCTTTGTTCTACCTACCAAAACACTATTTTGCTTGACTCATCATTTCTTTGTTCTACCTACCAAAACACTACTTTGCTTGACTCATCATTTCTTTGTTCTACCTACCAAAACACTATTTTGTTTGACTCATCATTTCTTTGTTCTACCTACCAAAACACTATTTTGCTTGACTCATCATTTCTTTGTTCTACCTACCAAAACACTACTTTGCTTGACTCATCATTTCTTTGTTCTACCTACCAAAACACTATTTTGTTTGACTCATCATTTCTTTGTTCTACCTACCAAAACACTATTTTGCTTGACTCATCACTTCTTTGTTCTACCTACCAAAACACTATTTTGCTTGACTCATCATTTCTTTGTTCTACCTACCAAAACACTATTTTGTTTGACTCATCATTTCTTGTTCTACCTACCAAAACACTATTTTGCTTGACTCATCATTTCTTTGTTCTACCTACCAAAACACAATTTTGCTTGACTCATCATTTCTTTGTTCTACCTACCAAAACACTATTTTGTTTGACTCATCATTTCTTTGTTCTACCTATAAAAACACTATTTTGCTTGACTCATCATTTCTTTGTTCTACCTATAAAAACACTATTTTGCTTGACTCATCATTTCTTTGTTCTACCTACCAAAACACTATTTTGTTTGACTCATCACTTCTTTGTTCTACCTACCAAAACACTATTTTGCTTGAATCATCATTTCTTTGTTCTACCGACCAAAACACTATTTTGTTTGACTCATCATTTCTTTGTTCTACCTACCAAAACACTATTTTGCTTGACTCATCATTTCTTTGTTCTACCTACCAAAACACTATTTTGCTTGACTCATCATTTCTTTATTCTACCTACCAAAACACTATTTTGCTTGACTCATCATTTCTTTGTTCTACCTATCAAAACACTATTTTGTTTGACTCATCATTTCTTTGTTCTACCTACCAAAACACTATTTTGTTTGACTCATCATTTCTTTGTTCTACCTACCAAAACACTATTTTGCTTGACTCATCATTTCTTTGTTCTACCTACCAAAACACTATTTTGCTTGACTCATCACTTCTTTGTTCTACCTACCAAAACACTATTTTGCTTGACTCATCATTTCTTTGTTCAACCTACCAAAACACTATTTTGCTTGACTCATCACTTCTTTGTTCTACCTACCAAAACACTATTTTGCTTGACTCATCACTTCTTTGTTCTACCTACCAAAACACTATTTTGCTTGACTCATCATTTCTTTATTCTACCAACCAAAACACTATTTTGTTTGACTCATCATTTCTTTGTTCTACCTACCAAAACACTATTTTGCTTGACTCATCATTTCTTTGTTCTACCTACCAAAACACTATTTTGTTTGACTCATCATTTCTTTATTCTACCTACCAAAACACTATTTTGCTTGACTCATCATTTCTTTGTTCTACCTACCAAAACACTATTTTGTTTGACTCATTATTTCTTTATTCTACCTACCAAAACACTATTTTGCTTGACTCATCATTTCTTTGTTCTACCTATCAAAACACTATTTTGTTTGACTCATCATTTCTTTGTTCTACCTACCAAAACACTATTTTGCTTGACTCATCATTTCTTTGTTCTACCTACCAAAACACTATTTTGTTTGACTCATCATTTCTTTGTTCTACCTACCAAAACACTATTTTGCTTGACTCATCATTTCTTTGTTCTACCTACCAAAACACTATTTTGCTTGACTCATCACTTCTTTGTTCTACCTACCAAAACACTATTTTGCTTGACTCATCATTTCTTTGTTCTACCTACCAAAACACTATTTTGTTTGACTCATCATTTCTTTGTTCTACCTACCAAAACACTATTTTGCTTGACTCATCATTTCTTTGTTCTACCTACCAAAACACTATTTTGCTTGACTCATCATTTCTTTGTTCTACCTACCAAAACACTATTTTGCTTGACTCATCACTTCTTTGTTCTACCTACCAAAACACTATTTTGCTTGACTCATCATTTCTTTGTTCTACCTACCAAAACACTATTTTGCTTGACTCATCACTTTTTTGTTCTACCTACCAAAACACTATTTTGCTTGACTCATCACTTCTTTGTTCTACCTACCAAAACACTATTTTGCTTGAATCATCATTTCTTTGTTCTACCGACCAAAACACTATTTTGTTTGACTCATCATTTCTTTGTTCTACCTACCAAAACACTATTTTGCTTGACTCATCATTTCTTTGTTCTACCTACCAAAACACTATTTTGCTTGACTCATCATTTCTTTATTCTACCTACCAAAACACTATTTTGTTTGACTTTAGCAAAGTAGGATCCTTTTGTTGTAACTGTTGTTTGTGCTCAAAGTACTTGTATTTATCTACAAAAAGTTTTTTCCTTTTTCTTTACGTTTTTATGACATACAATATTAATATATTTATTAATAAGTTTATATATTTTTTATATAAAGTTTTTTATAAATATACATATAAAGTACATATGAAATACATAAATAGTAAAGCTTCTTAAAAGTTTTTACAGTTCTGTGTTATTTTTTTGTTACTAATTTTTTATGTTTTTTTTTTTCTTAGGTGGTCTGTTTGGTGCTTTATTTAACACTGTTAACCAACGTTTGGCAATGTTTAGAGTGAGGTATTATGTAACATAAGTGTAAAAGATATATATCTTCATTTTATTGTTTTTAAAAAAAGTGCCTATCATCGAAAAAAAAGTCATAAAATAAAGATTTTTTTTTTTTTTTGATTTTTTCAGGATTAAGTTTTGGAATAAATTTGATTGACTATAATAATTTAAAATTTTATGTCATTTGAATAAGTTTATTGTTTAATCTTATAAATATTTGCTTAAACAATCAAGTCTTTAAAAAAATCCATTTTACCATGCAATGAAGCAATTTTTCAAAAATTGCTTCATTGCATGGTAAAATGAATCACAAATTGGTTATCTTTTAGGTTTATTAAAAATCGTCCTATGCGTGTTATTGAAAGTGTCATCATCGCAATAATATCATCTTGTGTAACATTTTGTTTGATATATTTTCAAAGTGACTGTAAACCAGAAGGTTTATTTAATGCCACTCAAACTTTACAGGTTAGATTATTATTATTTATTTTCTATCCATCTTTAATACACTTACTCATAAAAATGAAATATTTTGACATGCAAAAAAATATATATGTAAAAAATTCATTATAAGTTCATAATTTATTTATTGTAGCTACTTGCTTTTCCAAGTTTGACAAGTTTTATTTAAAAAAACAATTTACTTATTTTTTTCTTTTCTTTTTAATTCATTTTTTTGTTTTTTTTACCAAATTTATTTACAGTTTTTTAAATATTATTTATGGTCAGAAAATTTATTAAATTAAGTCTTGGTATAGTTTTGTTAAACGCATGTAGAGAAGAAGCATGTAAATTAATGTTTTCAATAAATCCATTCAAACTAATAAACCCGACAGTCTTACACAAAGCAAACTCAAAACAAGTCATAATGCCTAACAGAACTGTTATTAAAAAATGGAGGTTTAAATCCTGCAGCTTTCAAACAAGTTACTCATATGAAGGTCCTGAGGCTAGCTGGTAGTCAGGTTTCCCGAACTCTGTGGTAGCTTTCAGAGAGCCTGATTCCATCAACAGCTGTAAAATATCAGACTGCTAACAGTGCCATGTTGCGCATGGATGGCATTGTCACATTTGGAGCCCTTTGTTATGGCTTAGGGTTTTTTAATACTAATGAGGCAATTGTTTGGACTATTATATAGCGTACTGAGTACTATCTGTGCTTTGAGTCAAGTTCTTCAACCAATTTAAAAAATGACTAAATTATCAAAAACTATAAAACACAAGAAATCATCTTCATCACCAAGTTCTCTAAATCTATTATTCACTAATATTCATGGTCTTTAAAGTAACTTTTCTTCTATTGAGCAAAATTCACCTTTATTGCTCATCGCACTCAATGGCTCTAGTGTCAGTGACTCTTCAAGGGTTAAGGCCCACAACTTTTGCCTTCTCAATCTCTAACACAAATAGTCAACTTTCCAACTCGGTTTCCAGACAATCCAAATCATTTACCTTCTCAACTCAGCTTATATCATATTTCTGATCCTAGTCACTGCTCAGTTTCTTCACATACACCATTAGGTGCTTCTGATCACAGTTTGTTTTCTCTAAACCTATTATTTACATTGTACCCCTTTACAACTACCTTAAAGCTGGCTGGGACTTTTTCCATTATTTTCTTTGTGTTAGCCCTTGAGTAGAATTTTTTTGTCTTCCTGCTGACAGATGTGCTTCTTATGTAACTTCTTGGATTCAGGCTGGCATAGAATCTTTTATTTCCTCTAGATGATTCAAGTCTCACTCTTCTCCATGGTTTTCCTCTTATTGTGTTGCTGCAATTGCCAAAAGAACAATTGGCAAAACAATTTTTCAGAAAATAGATGTCTGTTTACTATTGTTAGAAACTTTTGTTAATGCTATTCTCAGGTCACAAAATCTCATATTAATCTCAAAAATTAGGCTCCAGAGACTTTTAGAGAATCTTTAACAGTGTCAATATTAAGGGCAAATATTGTTCCTCCTCACTTGCATGGTTCAGATTTTGTTACTTCACATTAAGACAAAGCTGAATTGTTTGCTAAGAACGTTTCATCAATCTCATCTCTTGATTCCACTAATCACAACCTACCTCATATAGCTGAAAAACAGGTTGATCCATTGCTTGGTCCGGACAACATACCTGTTATAGTCTTGCAGAAGTGTTCTCTAGAGCTGTTGTCTATACTTTCAAAAATATATAAGAAGTGCTTAACATAGTCTTGTTTTCCAGCCTGCTGGAAAGTGGCATCTGTTGTCCCTATTGTCAAAAAATTGTGCGAGCTATCTGACTTGTCTAACTACTGTCCCATTAGTCATCTTCCTATCATAAGCAAGATTTTTGAGGCTTAAATTAACAAACACTTGATCTCTTATCTTGAATTTAATAACTAACTCAAAATGGATTTCAATCTTCTTGTTCTACTGCTTGTTAACGGTAATAACTAATAGTTTTTACTTTGCGTTAGAGTAGTTATCACTCTTGACATTTCTAAAGCTTTTGATAAAGTTTTGCCTGCTGGTCTTCTTCATGAGCTCTCTTTTTACCTTGTATCAGGTAACATCTTTAAAATTATTGAATACTTCCATACCAATCATAGAATAAAAGTTGTCTTTGATGGACAGCACTCTTCTTCATATCCTGTAACTTCAGGGGTTCCTCAAAGTGTTATACTTGGCCTATACTTTTTTTTATTTACATTAAAGATTTCCCAGAAATTCCCACAACTAAGATAGCATTGTTTGCTAATAATACTACCATTTATTCTTGTCTTGATAAGAAGCCAACACTCTCTGATTGCTTGGTGGGGGTATTTGAGCTAGAAAAGGATCTAACTTCTGCTCAGCATGGGGCTCTCAGTGGCTGGTGAACTTTAACTCAGATAAAACTCAATTTTTTTCAGCTAATTGTTATTGCAGCAATTTAGATTTTGTACATTTTTGCAAATTCTTTCGTATAATTCTTTTTTTGAATTTTATTTTTTCGATATAGCGTTATACCGTTTCTTTATAGGATTTCATTAAATGTAATTTTGGTTAATTTACATATTTTTAAGTCAAAAATATTATCAATCTTAATTCTTCGTTAGGGGGTGACGTAATACGATGTTAGGGGTGACTTTGATAGTCTATTATTTCTTAAACTTTATTAATTTCATCTTCACAAGTGCCTTTAATACTTTTCTTTGGAGATTTACTTAGTTACAACACAATATACTAATATATTTTTAAGGTTTTACTGGTAAAATTATTAATTTCAACAACAAGATTGGTTATCATATTTATCCACCAAATGGACAAAAAAACAAAAAACAATTTAGTGTTAATATGCTAAACATAACAATATGATGTATTAATAGCATCATTAGAGTAGTTGTAATTAGCAGTTATAAAATAATACTAACAAAAAAAAGTAATAACTGTATATAAATATTAAGTACTAATGTACTTTACTTGTTTAATTCCATTTAAAATAAAAAAAAGATATCAAAACAAAAAAAATCTAAAAAATCACATTTTCTAAAGATTTTACAACAACTGGTGTTAAAATTAGTAAATATTTTGGATATCTTCTGATAGTATATTCGATTCACTTAACCTAAACTGCTGCAGGGTAATAATTAGCAAAATAATTGTTTGAAAGACAAAGTGTTAATTTTCTTAAATGAAATGTTCTGAGTTCAATCATCAGTAAATGTTTCCTCAAAGGTAACTTCTAATCTGTCAGGATGCTAACAATTTGTAGAATCTTTCCGTCGGTATGAGGAAAGTTTTTTATGTCTTAGTAAACTCTTGTTGTACATATGGTATACAATATAACTTGGATGCCTTAAAATCTTGAGTACCATATGGTATACCATATAACTTGGATGCCTTAAAAGTTGATATTCTGTTAGTTGAGATATCTAACAAGGCATTTTGCATGGCTTTGGCTGGATACAATGCATAGCATTGATTATCTGGTTTATGTTTATAAATTCTCGTGAATTCTCCTGCTATTCTTCTTGTGATATTTTTTGTCTTAGTCTTTTTTAACTAGAAATAATTGTTTGAAACATTAAATTGTCACAATAAGATTAAAATAAATATTAAAAATTATTTAAAAGAGTGAAAAACAAAATTGTTTTGAATTTTCTACAAAAGTAATTGGGAGTAACTGAAAAATGAGTGGTATATCACACTGGTATTATAACTTGATTATACTACTTGAGCATCTAAGTATAGATTTTTAGAAAAAAATTTATTCTAAAAAATTAAAATTATATGTTTTTTGGTATTTTTTTGGTACATGTAAAAATCGTTATTTTGTTAATCCCACACATTTGCACAAGTTAGAATCACTTCACAATCATTAAAATTGCAAAAATATATGCAGAATATAATAATGTACTAGAAAAAAAAAAGTCTATAGTTTTGCAATTATCTACAAATCGATACTTTTCTAACTAACAGGCAAATCTATCAAAGTCACCCAGCGTATCAAAGTCACCCTGTTTTACAGTAACAGAAAGCAAAAAATCAAAATAAATTATTTGCTGGCCAGATGAAAAAGAGTAAATACAATACTTTTGTGTCAACCTGAAATTTTTCAAATTTTGCAGGCTAATGTTTAGTCGCTAATACATCAACTTATATTTTTAGTTTTTGATAAATTGTATAATAAGAAATAGATTTAAAAAAATCATTTTGTTTAAAATTTTGTTGTAATAGAAAAAATAGATTTTTAATAATATAAATATTATAAATTAACTACATAAATCCCCAAAAAAATGCTTGTATCATCATCATGTACTTGTTAATGGGTGTTATTATAAAAAACACTAGAGGTGATGTCTATTGTGAAAGTTACTATATCTATTTTAAGATGTGTATCTTATAATATTTTTTGCATATTTATATAAATTTATTAAAATTATGTTTAGTTCTTTTGTGAGGATTCAGAATTTAGTGCTATGGGGTCTCTTGCTTTTAATATACCTGAAAAAGCATCAGTTAGTCTCTTTCATGCTGATCGAGGTTTGTGGTTTGTTATTTTTTATTTAATTTTTTATTTGTTTAAGAAAGATAAAAATAAGACTGTTACATATTCAGTAGTTGTTTAAGATATTAGTGTCAAGGATTAAAAGCTTTTTGTTAAATTTTGTTCTAACAGCAACCATGAAAACATTTTCTTGTTTTTCATGAATTCTTATTTGCAACAAAACAGCAACATAGTTCTGGGCTAAATATGATAAATATGAAATAATATAAAATGAAAAAATTGCCTGATAATTATTAATATTCACAGGAAATGTGTTAATTTAAGTTTATAGAAGTTAAAATTTTCTGTTAAAAAGTTAATTTGCTTAAAGAATTTGCATAATTATACATAAACCATGTATTCAGTAAATTAAACTATAAAGTTTATCATGTTAATCATAAATTCATCTGTTAGTTTGAAGAAAACAGCTTTTTTCTCCTTTATAAACAAACTTTTGGTGCAGGGGGGACGCAATGATACATTTCTGATTTTTGCTTTGTAACTATTTTTTTAACTTATTTTTTTTTTAGGTATTTGGTTTATAGATTAAACTTATATGTACAAAATTAAATTCATTAACAAGATATAACAAGTTAAACTTGTAAAACTATTTAATTTAAAATTAGACATTTGTATCAAGGTATTCCACTAAAGTATTTTACATTGGTACAACTTATGAATATCAATAAAAAAAGTAATTAAAAAGTATAAAACTCAGATTTTTACTTAAAAGTTAATTATAACTCAAACAATGCATCCAACGGTCCGAATCACATTTCAGAATCCAGATAATATAGCCTTTTAAGTGTCATTGTTAAGCGACAAAAAATAACTCAGGTCAACAAAATTTTTCAGGTGCTGAGCAAACAGTTTGTTTTTTGTATAGGATTTCTCATTTTGATTTCAAATCTGCAACTAGTTTTTTACCATCATGTCAAGTTGTTAAGATTTTTAAAATGTTATTCGTTTGTAATAAAAATAAGTACTTTTTGTATTAATGCTAAAAAACATTTTGTTAAAATTTTTTTAAGAGTTTTAAGCACTTTTTGGTATAAATTTTAAGGAACAATATTTATGTTTTCTAAAATCTTTATGAAAATACGCTTCTTTTGAGACCCAGGTTGACATACTTTTGAATAACTTTTTTTTAAAAATATATGGGACTTTACCCCAAATACTATTGATTTGAACCCAAATATCTTTATAACTTGACGTGATGGTAAAAAATGAGTTGCATATTTGAAATCAAAATGAAAATACTATACAAAAAACAAATTGTTTGCTCGGCACCAGAAAAAAATTTTTTTGTTGACCTGTGTAATGGCTTTGTATCAAAATCTCCTACTGTTACTAGTATTATTTTTACACAAATCTCTTAAAAATTGACTGTTTATATTACATACAGAGTTTTATTTTACAGTTTTAGGGCCCTCTGCTTACCGATAGATACATTGAATAGCATAACTTTAAATCTAGTAACTTCAAAACATAATAAATTATTTTTAAAAATCAAAATAACAAAAAATTCAAATCCTTGTAGACCTAATAATATATAATGCAATTTTTTTTTTGTCAAAATATAGCTCTGTTTCACCATATGAAAGTGTCACAACTTATACTATACCTCCACAATTGCGGTGTTTCCATGGTCACTATACCCTAATCAATTTATTAAATTGAATTTTAAGCAATGGTAAAATTTAATGAGGACTTACCTAACAATTTATTTTTGTACATTAGGGGGAAAATTTTCTTGATTTTTTCTCTTTAAATTGTTTGTAAAATATTTGAAGTCAAAAAGTTGCTTTTTTTCCTTTTCATGAACTATTCTGTTCACATCCCAATATTTGCTCTTTCTGCTTATACCAAAAACTCCTCCCAACTTTTTTACCAAAATTGTTTTTTGCCTTTCCTGATTTCCATTTGCTCCTTCTGATTTCTTTGGAAAGCTATAGAGAAATACATAAATAACAAAAATATATTTTTAAATAAAAATTTTTAGATTCCACAGTTGGGCAGAATTTCTTTAAATTGGACATTTGTTTTGGGTGTTAGGGTTGTCACTGGACAAAAACCAAATGTGTTATAGAATATTTTTTGGTGGTAATGTTTAATGTCTGTGCTCTATTTAGCTTCAAAAATTATATTTATAAAAAAGGCGATTACACATTTCTTTTGTTCAGTTCTTTTTGTTGGTTTGTTGTAAGATATTTTTGATTTCTTTGCCTAGTAATGTAAATTCTGAATTGTAAAGACTTTTTTAATTCCTTTGAATTAATTATTAATTTAATACGATTAAGATATTAATTTTAGTAATTCTTTTTATTAAAATCATACTTAAAAAAGTAAAAGTAAAAAAGAATAAAAAAGCAAATAATACATAAATTATTATCATAATTAACTTTAAATTATAATTAAAAGCAAATATTATTATAAATTTTATTTCCTTAAGTTTAAGAAACTGCTTAAATTTTTTTTTTTTTTTTCAGAAAACTATTACTTTGAATAGAAGTAAAATAATTTATTAATTTTAATTTTTTCTAATTTAATTTTAATTTTAACTTTTGCAATAACTGGTTTAATGTTTGCAATAGAATGTTTCTACTTTTAAAACTATTTTCAAAAAACATAATAATTTCAAGAAATATAATTGACTATTCAAAACGTTTACGAGTTAAATAAAACTTTCCTCACTTGTATGTTACGTTCTAAATCTGATATTGCTACTGTAGCTAGATATATGTTTAACTTTAGGCAATGATCCTCGCTATGCTGGGTATTACGGATGCTGCTGAATAAAATTTATAATGATTAAGCATTAAAATTCTTTTAAATTTTTCCATTTTTTTTAATTTCATATATCAATCACAAAATTATTTTATAATAATTATGATAATAATAAATTATATAAGAAATCTATTTGAATGAAAGAATTTTAGAAAACTAAAATTATTTGGTTCAGATAGATTTCTTTTTAAATAAAATTCCTAAAAACAACCTGCGAGATTAATAGAAAATGTTTTTAAAAAATGGTATCGCATTTCTTGTTAAAATAATTTTTTTAGAAGCTTAAATTATGTGTTAACAGCATATACAATATAAATAGAAAGATTTATATGGCTAATTTTGGCAAGTCTTTGAGTATATTAAGTAAATTTAATAGTTGAGTAACTATAAGTTACTGTAGTAACTGGTTGTTTTGATTTAGTTTAAAGGTAAATTTACTGTGATCACTGTGACACTTTATCCACTCAGTAAGTTAAACTAAATATAACTTTAAAATAATATCGGCTTCCACGCAGAGATTTAAAGTAATTTAAATTCAAATACATTTTTTTTTTTAAATAAAATATCCGCACAAGAGAGCAAAGATCTTAATTATATTCAAAAGATAAATTTAGCGTGACCCGTAAAATAAATTTAGCGTGACCCGTAAAATAAATTTAGCGTGACCCTAATAAAAAACTTAGACAGAAACATTACTTTAAGAATGCCTAAAAATGCTAAGTTAAAAAAGAGAAAAAAAAGTTAACAAATTGCAAAAATATTTTTTTAAAGAAAAATCTAACTGCGAAAATATGAAAAGCAATTGCGATACGTCTAATTCGAGCCCTGTATTCTTTTTTGATCAGATTTGGTTTGTGGATTTTAGTCAGTCCTTTTTGTGCGGCAAAATCTCCAGTTTTCATAAAAAATTATACCATCCTCGTTAACTAGTTTTTTGTACAGCATCTGTTTCTTCTGATAATCAATCAATTGGTAATTCTTTACAAATTCTCTTTATATCTGTCCATAGTTGTTTTTGTTTTGCAAAGTATACAATTTGCACCTCCAGGTTTACTGGCTAGTTGCTTAAATTTTAAATCCTTAATTATCTTCCAAATATCTTAGAAAATGATTTTTTAATCTTAAAAATTATATCAATCTAAAACTTTATTTTCAAGTATCTTGAATATAAATGTTTAGATTGATATAAATTTTGTTAAACAGATAACACATCCATTTTAATTCTTCTCTTGCATTATGAGTTGGCATATTTGATTTCTCAAAAACACAGGGCATAAAAATCTTGATGCATTAGGTGAATGATTTTCCCACAATGTTGTATTTTTACTACTAGATGTCATTTTAGTCTCTGTGGAAACTAAAGATTGCCTGTATTAGATATATTTGATTTACAATCATTTCATTTGATTTCATTGATACTTTCTTTTCTGCCTTGTCCTTGATTTCATTGATACTTTCTTTCCTGCCTTGTCTATTTCTGGACACTTATTATTGATTTAAGTTCTTTATACTATTGACAAGTTCCTATGTTCTCTCCTTTTTCATCTTATCACTCAGTTATGTAAAAAAGTTTCTTTGTTTTTAAAAACATACGATTCTATAATATAGCATCCTCTACTCAATAAATAATATCTTTTGATGCTTGTGAAGGCATAAATACATATCCTTTTTTCATGAAATATTTTTCTTTCAGACATTTATAATGTCTCCATGCTTTTTGCAACACACATTTCTTAATTGCAACTCACATTTTTTAATGGATGGATATGTTACTGAGTTTGACTTATGGATATGTTACTGAGTTTGACTTCTCAAATTGGATACCGTTTTCCCAGGATCCCGGAGGTAAAAAGCTATCCCATTATCCTGGGATTCCAATCAAATTTCCTGGGAATCCCGGTAATTTTTTTAAACATTTTTAATTAAATTTTGAGTAATAACATTTTTAATATCTTGACATTTGTAAAGATATTAAAAATATTATTACTTAAAATTTGAGTACTAATTACTTCCTTTTCCCTTTTATAATGAATTTCTATATAAATTAGGAAGATATCTTATAGAGGCCAATTAAATCACCAATATTTTGCAGTTTTGATTTGTGTCTAAGATAGATAAAATATTATTATTGAATTCGATTTATAAATAGATTTGATTTACTTTTATGTTGTAACTTACAGCATATAAAGCTTAAACAAACAAACCAAATCAATAAAAAAAATAACCACGGACAAGTTACAAGTACTTGTACGTGCAAAAAAAGTATTACTAAATATTTTTATGCAAAACTAAAATTAGTTTTGGATAAAAGTTAAAAGTAAGTAAAGTAATTAGTTACGTTAAGAAAGTAGTTTGTAAAAAGTGAAATAAGTGAAAACTAAGTAAGTGAAGTTTAAAATATATGTTTAGTAATTACAAAATTAAACTGGCTTGCTAAAATATTTAAATAATCCATCAAATTATAAAAACGAATCAAACATAGATTCTGTATTATTGCTGCCTTCCAAATCAGTCCTTCAAGCTCTGGCTACAAAATTGTTTTCTAAACTTTTTCTTGAGAATATATGATGGTGGAAATTACGCTTAAAATGAAGAATTAGAACGCAGTAATGACAGGACTGAAATGTTGATTATGGCTGAACCAAATTTGAAGACAACATTTGAATCAACATTTCATCAAAAATTGGAAGCTGCTATTACGAACAGTATTCGAAGTAAGAGTCCAGAAGATGTGTTATATGACGTTAAAAATATCACAAAAGAAATGAATGTTTTTGATGCAACGAAAAAGCGTACAAATAATTTAGACAAATTAAATAATGCTATATTAACTAGCCCACCGACTTTAATCAATTCAGAAAGAGCTTTTTCTGCGGCAGGTCGTTTTATTACGAAAGTTTGGTCATCGTTAAGTGATAGCGCTATTGACAGTTTATGTTTTTTTAAAAAATTATTTTAAAACTTAATATATATAAAATATAATGTTATTGAAGTTTATATTTGTTTTATTCTGAGAGTCTTAGTTTCTAAGAACAATTTTGTTTTTATTTTCTCGTTAAAAGTAATAGTATTTAAACCCCTTTTTTTTGTATTTGTTTGAACTCACACATCTCCCCTCCCCCCAAACTAGTTAGATGAATTTTTGCTTGTTACTTAATCCCGGGATTTTCTGGGATTTTCTGGGATCCCAGGAAATTAATCATTTTTGTCCTAGAATCCCAGGAATTAGATTTTTATTGGCAATGAGAAGCCCCAATTAACATCTTTGTTAGCAATAAATTGTGTAAGAAAAAACAACTTCAGTGTTTTAATATTTTAACATTTATATTTTGATTTTCTAAATTTTACTTTTTTTTTTTCCCTTATTATATTTATTAGTTTATTTTAATTTTGTTAAAGCATGAACAAAATAAAATTAAATATGTAAGAAACTTACTTTACTTTTTTTTAACCAAAAATAAAAATGCTGCACAAAAGCAATCTTGTTTTCTTTGTTATACCTCCTATCATTTTATATTTGTTCATTTTAAATATTGATATATCTATGCATATGTATATTTGTTTTAAATTAAATTAAACTTTTGTATTTAATTAAGATTTATGGTTACTTTTGTGTCCTTTTGTTGTAGATATACTTTAACAATAAATTTACCGTTGACTATGATTTGTGTATAAGCTTTTTCTCCTTAAAATAAATTTGTGTTTCTGAACATCATTTTGTTTTTGTTTTTGTTTTATTACCTATCCTCTTTTATATAAAAAGTTTTTTAAATAGAAATGTATCAAATTTCTGTGGGCTTTCATAGCTCAGTCTAGTTTAAGCACTGCAGATAACCTGCACCAAATATAACAAAAATATTATTAAATTTTATCTCTGTTGAACTAAATTAAATGTCCATGTTTGATCTCATCCTTTTTATTTTCTATATACGATACTACTTTGGTGTGTGAGGGTCTACTACTACTAAGGATCTCTGTATGACACAGTAGAAGAAAGCACTTTTGATTAAACTTTGATTTAATCTGGTTTTATTGTTTTAAAAAATTCTATATTCAACAAAATTGCTTATTTAAGTTAAGAGCAAATTAAAAAAAAAAAATTATCTCAAAATTTTAAATAATTTATTCAAAATTTTTAAATAATTTATTCAAAAATATATTCAATATCTAATTAAAAACAACTTTTACATAAGCTGTTTAACAATTTTCTTGGTGGTAAATTCATTTGAAATAAAAATCACCTGAATTTACTATTTTATAGGTACATAAAAATTTGGAACTTCAAAATTTCATATTCATTACTTAAAAAGCAGCTAGAAACAATTTTTTTTTTTTAATTTAAATAACAAATTAAACTTGCAAAAAAAACATGCAGTATTATTTATCTTCAATAAGATGTTGCTAGATTTATACAATATCAGTGACAATATTAAAAATAATTTAGGAGTTTATATTTAAGTTTTTATTTTTTAAGTGGAAGTTTCAAATGTTGATATTTAAGTCAATCTATCAAAAATATTTAAACATAATAATTATAGTATTGAAAATTTTTTTCTTGAAAATTAAAAAAGTATATTATTTGGTCCATAAAAACAATGTTTTCGTTAGTAGGTTGTTAAGATTGATTAAGATTTTAATTGGTCAAAAATCCTCATTTATTAAGTTATTCGTTGTAAAATAATAAATTCAAGTGGTTACACAGTTATTAGTGCAAACTTTAATAAGGTTAGAATTATAAAAATTACTTGACTGGAATGGCCCTTTTGACCTTGCTAGGTAAATTCAAAAAAAAAGAAATGGTTTTTGCAACAATGTATCAAAGGTATTTTACCAGTAATTTAATCCAAAAAGGACTTGATTGATTTTTCTTAGTAAGTATTTGTTTATATTTATCAATCTTTTAATCTTTAATCTTTTAAATATTTGATTAAGATGATATTTGTATAAATTTTTTATATTAAACTGGTTTTGGGATATTATATGTAAGTAGGTTTAGCTTATGTGGGTGTTAGGTATTGGGGTGAAAAATATTTTTTATTAGTATAAACATGTCATATGTAATACTATATATATATATATATATATATATATATATATATATATATATATATATATATATATATATATATATATATATATATATATATATATATATATATATATATATATATATATATATATATATATATATATATATTTATAGGCCTCGGCGGGAAGGGAGAGCTTGACCTCTCGTTCTCGCCCTTACTCCCCTAAAACATTTTACGGGAGCAATTTATGGCTCTCGCAAAAGTATAACTTTTTCTAAAAAATATAATTATCATTGTAATTCTTAAAATGCCACCATTCTACTACAATAAGAAAATTAAAACCTTTTTTTATAAGCAGTAAAAATAACGCAGGTCTAAAGAATTTTTTCATGCTGCAATAAATGAAACTTTATAAAGTTACGTAATACTTTATAAAGTTACATAATACTAACATAACAAACTTATACTTGACTTGGTGCAACAAATCTATGAACGTCCAAACTTTCGTTAAAAAAAGACGTCAAAAAGATGTTGTTGAAAAATAAATATCACGTTTCTATATTTTTGCATATGCAAATGTTGGCACTTGCTTAAAATTTTTAAAAACACGCTTTACTTCAGCAATTTTCCAAATAATGATGCGATTGATAGTTTTTATTTATTATAAAAAACACTTAGTTACTAAAATTTAAAACACATTTTAAAGACTTTATTTTCTAAAGATTATTTCTTTCGATAGCGATGGAAAACAATTTACATTTGTTAGGTCATTGCATATTAATTATCATTAATTTGCGCGCAAATGCGTAAAAAATTGTTTTGATGAAATAAAAATTAATTAAATTCAATAAGCATCATGATATATCTATTAACTTAACCATTAACTTAACAATAAAATAACTAGAATAAAAATTATTTGAAAATAAAACTTCCTATGACATATATCTCTTAAATTAGACATTCAACATTGTAACAAGTATAAAAACCAAAATTTTTTATTTAATATTTAATTTTTTAATGAATAAACAGATAGCTCGCGCAAAATCAAAAGCTCTCCTAATAAGCTGTTTAGAGGAGCAGTTTGCATGGCTCGCCATGTTTGTTTTAGGAGAGCTTTTTGCCACTCTCACACTCATTTCTTCCTGCCAAGGCCTATATATAGCACAAGGGTGTGAAAACCAATAGTTGGAAAACTTATGACCCATATGGTAGTATATGTTATGTTAGTATATGTTAGTCTAGTATATGTTGGATGAGATTAGTATGTGTAAATAGTTGTGCTTAGTGAGGTGAACATTTTAAAAATTGAATAGTTATGTGCATGAATGCATAGTTTTTAATATATAAATAATATATTTAGTTTTCATTTTTTATAGTTTATCTATATATTTTTTGAATTATATATATATATATATATATATATATATATATATATATATATATATATATATATATATATATATATATATATATATATATATATATATATATATATAAATTATGTTAGTGTATTCTACAAATAGAGTGTTCTTAAAGAAGAGAGCAATAATAGTTTAGTCTTCATATCAACAGCATGTTTCACCATCAGTAGGTTCATCAGGAAGCCTGATGAACCTACTGATGGTGAAACATGCTGTTGATATATATATATATATAATGGTGGATCATAATAGATTTATAGTATGTTAATAATAACTGAATGATATAAAATATAAAGTTATTATAATAATAGATAAAATGATATGTGTGGGGCAAGAGAAGCTGCTTAGTCATGGTGAAGGCAAATAACCTAGTAGAAAGAAAGTTTTTTAAGTATTATTATTACTCATTAACACATTGATAAATGATAGGTAAGACATTGACAGGTGCTACAAAGAGTAAGATATAAAAACAGTTATATTTATAATTGTAAAGGTTTGAACAAATAAAGTTCTTAAGTATTTAAATTGATTAAATAAATAAAATGGTCCAATTTTGTTTTTGTTTTGTTTGTTTACAATTATTTGTAGTTAATCTTAGTTATCCAGAGAAAAATCATTTGTTTATTTTAACACTAAGGTTTCTTTTTCTAGGGATGTATGGCATAACTACACTTGTTGTATTTTTCGTATTTTACTTTCTATTGAGCATATGGACTTATGGGCTATATGTACCAAGTGGTTTATTTATACCTACAATTTTAGTTGGAGCTATATTTGGTCGTTTATATGGGGAACTTATCCATATTGCTTTTCCTGCTGTTAACTGGTCTAATCCTGGTGTATATGCTTTGATAGGATCAGCGTCAATGCTTGGTGTGTTTAGTTTTGAATGTTTTAGTAACTGTGCAAAATATTCAGAGAATAAACTAATCTATATATGTGTGTGTGTTTGTGTGTGTATATGTGTATATATATATATATATATATATATATATATATATATATATATATATATATATATATATATATATATATATATATATATATATATATATATATATATATATATATATATCATACATCAGAATTCACTTTTATTTTGCATATTACGTATTAAGTATAATAAATAAGTGAAATATATTTAATATAATTTGAGTATAATATTTAATCACATCATATTTGATTTAATATAATCTTTAAAAACATTTTTAAGATTAACAGACTTAAATTAAGAGTAGCATCTTTAAGATGTCTTTTCTTACCAATCTTAAGAATCTTTCCTTACCAATTGTAGTTGTCCTCGATGGACAGCACTCTTCTTCATATCCTGTAACTTAAGGGGTTCCTCAAGGTTTTATTCTTGGCCTTATACTTTTTTTAATTTTATTGATGATCTTCCAGAAATTCTCACATCTAAGGTGGTATTATTTGCTGATGATAATACCATTTATTCTTGTCTTGATAAGAAGCCAATACTCTCTGATAGGTTGGATGGGGCATTTGAGCTTGAAAAAGGCCTTACTTCCGCTACAGCATGGGGCTCACAGTGGCAGGTGAACTTTAGCTCAGATAATACTATTTTTTTCAGCTAATCATTATTGCAACAATTTAGATTTTCCTATTTTTATGAAAGATAACAAACTTGATAAGTCATCTACCCTTTATCTTCTAGGATTGACTCTTACTTCTGATCTTTCATGGAAACCATATATCAAATCCATTGCAAAATTAGCATCTGCAAAGATTGCATCTCTTTATCATTATCTTTATCTCTTTATCTTTCTTACTCCAGATTCTATTCTTTATCTCAACAAATCTCAAATCTGTCCTTGTATGGCATACTTTTGCCATATCTGGAGCAGATCTTTGAATGATGCTCTTTCTCTTTTAGACAAGGTGCAAAAACACATTGTAAACATAGTTGGACCTGCTCTTCCAGCCAACCTTTGACCATAACCACATTGTGGTTGCTTGCAGCCTTGTTAAAAGTGAAGACGTTGAGAAAAAAAAGTTCAGCATATTCATTTTTTTGAGTATAATACTAAATACTCGACTTATTGTACCCATTTTTGTTGAGTAGAACACAATATGCAACTCATCAAGTATATCTTTTTTGAGTATTTAGCATAAAAATATTTTTATGAGTGTATTTTTATGATTTAATATTTATCTATTTTATGATTTAGAATTTAAAAACTAATAATTAATTAAATTAATTACTAATAACTCATTAATAATATTAAGGTCGATAATACAAGGTATTATCAACCGTAATATTATTAATGAGTCTTAAATTAAAGACTCATTAATTATATTATTAATGAGTCATAAATTAAAATCTCTTTGCAGTTTTTATAACTATTGAACTTTAACTTTAAAGATACAAAACTCTTTTCTAATTAATCAAAGTGTAATTACTACTTAGTGAATGAATAAATGCATGAATTATGGAACTTGATTCACTTCGATGCATCAATTTAATCAAACCTAATAAACCACAAAATTATAAACTATGCATTAGTTTGAACTTTTTAGTACAAATCACATTTGTACAAATCACTTTGTACAAATGAGTGAATTTAATAATATTAATACATGATATTACTCTAATTATAATTATAACTAATTAAATAAAAATTATTCCATGAAATTAGGCATATTATAATTTAAAAATGCAATTTGTTCTCCATGTTCAGGCAAATGCCTGTTTCTTTTAGTTTCAAGTTACAGGTATAAAAAAGACACCCATGGGTTTCACACCCAGTCAAGTGAAATCAAAGTTGATTAAAGCAAAAAAGAAATTAGATATAGTAGTAATAGTTTGGTCAACAAAGCAAATTAAAATATATTAAACTTTGATAATTTCTTAAACACTTTTTCAAAACTTCATGAAATTTTAGAATATGTGGTTTCAAAATACATCTTTGTTATTTTAAAATCCTATTTTTTATATAATTTATTTTTATATTTCATAAAACCTTATTCTCCATATTATCACATTATATTTTATAACCACATATTTTATAAAACCTTATTTTTCATAATTCTCTTTAAACTGTAAAGACTAAAGTGTTAAATTTAATAAACTTGCTATTTCTAATTGTTGTGGGAAAGTTGTCCAGCAGTTGTGTAACAAATTTGTTTTACAAGGAAAACTAGTGTAAGTTATGCAACTTAACATCAGTTGTATAATGAAATTTATGTTATAAAACAGTTGTTGTGAACAACTGAAACAAATTAAGTTCCTGCAAAAGTTGCTGTATTACAAAATTGCGCCACTATTTTACATTTTTTCTACAATTATTTCAAAACCTAGATTAAGTAATTTTAATGTATTAAAAAATAATTTGTTAAAGCCAATGGTTTGGCAAACATAACCACTGACTTTGACCGAAGCCAGTGGTTATGCTTGTTAAATATTTCAGTACATCCCTACTAGAAATACAAAAAACATATGCTCTGCCCAAAATGGTAAATAAATCTTGATGAAGGTTAAAATGTAAAAACTATGTTATCGATGCAATTTTTTAAATTTAAAAGCAATAGAAGGTATTTAACTGTCAATAGTAACAATTTTATATAATATTTTTGTTTTGTTCAACTGACTTTATCAGAGATAGATGTAGTAGGTCACTGTTTACAAAATTTAAAAAATCACAAAGAGTCATCCTGAAATTTTCTTACTCTAATATTATTAACATAAAAAAATAACTAGATAGTTTTAGTTATATTCATTTCAAGAAATTGGAAAATTAAATTGAATAATTAAATTGGAAATTGAATAAGTACAGTTTATTTAATTTTTTGTCATTTTGATGCTTCATAGTTATAGTTAAAGAACATTTAATTTTTAGAGATCTAAATAAATATGAATATAATCAGAAGTTATAATTTAATTATTGTTTATAATTAATTTTTTTAAAATTTAAAAACCTAAAAATAGGCAATTATTTTATAAAATAATTATTTTTTTATTTCTTTTGTTCTCTCTTTTACTTTAAATTTTTGTCAAAATGAATGTCTCTTTTCTTATTGGTAAACCTGTTAAGCAGCTTCTGAGGTTAGTTTTAAGAATTATTAGGCATATTTTTTAGGTTGATTTATAGGTTTGATTTGATAGCCTCTCTGAGTTTTTCTGAATTTGTGCAAAGAGCTATGTGGGGGGGAGGGGGGCTCAACCCGAATCAACAGAAAGAAGATAATCCTAGGAACTAGCATCAAAGTTTTCCCTAATTTTTCTTTTAATGTTTTTTTTTTAATGATTTGTTTTTAAGCAAGTGTAGGCAAGAGTCCTAAAATGGTTTATGGGAGCAATTTACAGCTCTTTTAAAAGTATAATTATTTTGTATAAAAAAAAATAATTTGAATAAAATAGACAAAGGTCTGATTGACTTTGTTTTCTTACAAAATGTGATTGCTTTTTTTTTTTTGCGTAACAATATATATTTTTTGTAGTGCTTGAGATTGTATGCTTGCTAGCATACGTATTTATATCAAATTGTATGAGTAACATGTATTTATAACATATTATTTATTAACATATATTTATAATATGTATTTATTTATATGTATTTATAGTATGTATTTAATAACATGTGTATTTATAACATTTTTTTTTTTTTTTTTTTTTGTTTGCTTGAGATTGCCATACATTACTTGAGATTGCATAACAGATTGTCGACTCTAATAGTAGTTGCTTGCAGCCTTGTTAAAAGTGAAGATGTTGAGAAAAAAAGAATACAACATTTATTTCAGCATTAAATTCAGCATTTCTTTGAGTATAATAATACTCAACTTAAATAGTGGTTGCTTAATGCTGTATTACTAAACTGAGCATTGCAGAGATATTTCCTTTCCTAAAATCCTTGGTGTGAAAGTGTGAAATATAACTAAAACATTAATGACAAATTGGTCAAGTTTGCAATTTTGTTTATAGAAGAAAATAATTATCATTGCAACTAGAAGAAAAAACGCAAAGTCATTTAAATAAACATTGTTTAATAAAATTTAATAAAATTGTTTAATAAAATTGTACTTTTTAAAAAGCACAATTTTTGTAAAAAAAAAATCGCCGATTGAAATACAAATGTTTTTGATTAGATTAGACTAACTGATAAATTTTAAATTATTACACTCTAAATAATATTGATAAAATATAAAATTATTTAGCTGATAAAGTATAAATTTATTACATTATACATTATTGCATAATTATTTTTATTTTATGTAATGAATTTTACATTTTAAATATAGATTACTTTAATATATTATTAACTTTTATTGTGGAATTTTTAATTGTTGTATTAATTCCTAAAATGTTTGCATTCTATTACAATAAGAAAATATTATTTATAAGCATTAAGAAATAAAATCAATTAGATTTTTAAAATTTTTCAAGTAGATTTTTAAAACATTTTTTATAAGCATTAAGAACTTTTATAGCTTGTCGAATTTTTTTTTAAGTGTTATTAAATATAAAATTTTTTTTTAAGTGTTATTAAATAAATGGATAGCTAGTCTGAAAACTCAAAGACAATGCTTGTCTAAAGAATTTTTTCATAGCGCAATAAATAACGTTTGTTATATATATATATATATATATATATATATATATATATATATATATATATATATATATATATATATATATATATATATATATGTATATATATATATTTCCATGCATGTATGTATGTATATTAGGGTGGAGCGATTTTCATAGCAAAAAAAAAAAGTTTAAAAATCAATATTCCTGAGACACGAATCAATGTCTATTATTTATAAGATGTAAGTAAAAAAATATTTTTTTAATTTTGATGAGATTTTGAGGTTCCTCTTTGGATTCTAAATCCTTGGCGGATCCTAATGTTTTT